CGTGGGCAGGCTGTGCTTGCAGCCCTTCCTGTACAGAGACTCTCAGCCGATAAGCTATTTCTGTGTCGTGCCCTTTCCTCTTTTGCCGGTGTACTGTAGTAGCACTCAGCAGCCATGCACTCGGAGCAGTGGCACACTCGTGGCCATGGCTGGGAACGTGTCCTTCTGTGACACACATGTGCATGCACACACACATGCACACACTTGTCCCACTGAGCAAGGAAAGACTTGTAACTGACCACGTTGTTAAAATTCTTAGTTATGGGAAAGCCTTTTTTTTCAAACGAGGAAAAAAAAAAATGGATTGTGGTCTCCATGGCCAGAATGCATGCAGATGAGCTACTTGGAAAAGGGAATTTGGCAGAATGGGAAACAAGGAATGAAAGGGCCTTGATGTTTTGTTTTTTTTTTTTCCGCCACCCTGCTAGCTAAGGGTGGCTGCATGGGGAGGGTGCTAGGCAGTGTGGCAAAGCTATACGGCTGCTTACTCTGTTTTGACGGTTTCTCTCTTTGAGTCAAGAAGTTTCTTTCTGTATTTGGCCAGACCACATATAGGATATGGATCTTTTTCACCCTTTCCCTTCAAAGGGAATGCAGTTTAGATTAGTCTAAGAAGGGGGTACAGACAGCCACCTTGGTTTGGTTTAATGTAGGCCAAAAGTATTGAATCTTTTGAGTCTGTCTAGAACAAAAGCTCTTTCTCACTTACTAGTGTTTTTTAATGGTGATCTCTTCTTCATTCAGTCTGGGTAGGTCTGGCACTCACTAGCAGGCTGGTGAGCATCCTGCCCTGTTCCTGGGATGCTGTGTGTCTGTGGGAAGGGGAGAACTTGCTTTTCTTTCTCCCTGGGGCTCTGCCAGAAAACCAGGCCTGGTCTGACCCTCTGCTCGGGTCAGGGTGAGGGCAGAAGCAGGCTCGGACAGCGATGGGTGATCCTGCCCTGTCTGTGATGGCCATGCGGAGCTGAGGGTCGGGCAGCTCCCCAGCACAGGGCACCTGCTGCTCCCCAGGGGCCCACGGACCCCCTTGGGAAATCTGGTCCAACCAGGACTTGAAAGGAGCAAACATAAGCTAGGAAAGAGGCCAAACTTCTGCTGCTTTGCTTCTGTTCCCATGAAAAACAATGGCAGTCACTGTCAGAGCAGTTGGGAACTCAGGGCTTTCTTCTGGGCTCCTGTTGGCAAGAATTGGCTTCTTTGAGGCGCTGGCAGCTTGGCATGTCACGAAATCCCCAGTGGGACAGAGGGAGGAATCTCTTCCTGGTGAAGCAAGAGGAGAAGCATTTCAGAAAGCTGGTCTCATCTTCCCAGGCTGGCAGAGGCGTAACCTGCTCCATCGCATAGCTGTGGCCAACCTGGGCATGTCTCTGGCTTCAATTCCAGCAGCCTGGCACATCACTGCTTGTGTTTTTGATAACTGTCTCTTGTAGCGTATCTCTTCCCTGTCTCCACATTATTATTGACTCCACAGATCCAGGTCTTTATGGAGCTTTTTAGCTCTCCTTCCCCTCACTTTGAGTAAGAAAGCAGCCCTAGTCATTCAGCCTGGCGTGGCACAGCCGGGGCTGGAGCACCCAGAGCAGACCCGGGGGGAGGAAGGAGCAGTCTGTTCCTGTTTCTAGATTCCACACAGAGCTCCCGCTGTGCGTCCATCATGAGCGATGCCCGGCGGTCCCTGCGTGGTGGTGATGGAAGTGGGGTCGCTTGTCCTGCAGGCTCGCTGTCGTCTCTAGGGAAGCTGCATCTCGTGAGCACTTTTTTCCTTGTGGCATCGCTGCCGTCTGTTCTTTGTTGGACTTTGAACGTGTAAGAAGTGAATCAGTTTCCAGACCCAAACCGCTGGCTAGTTTCCTTTGGGTTTTGTTTTTTGTTTTGGGTTTTTTTTTTTTTTTGTCATGAAGTTGTTGAATTTTTTTTTTTTTTTTATAAACCCAGCAGGCTGGTGTTTTTTTGACTGCGTTATTGTTTCATTGCTATTTTATTCCTGGGGGGCTGGGGGGGGGACGTTCTTCCCCACATTGTTCCCCTTCTCAGGGGATTCAGAGGTGGCTTAAACGAGTAAAAGGACCTTATTGGCAAGATTCTGCATCCCCTGGGTCTCTGATGCTGGCGAGCAGGGCTGCTCATGCCCGGCTGACCACAGAGAGCAGAGCTGGCTCTCTGCTCCAGTCTTGTGGCCAGGCAAAACATGTAGTTTCTGCTCTCCCAGTTTCTGGATCCTTTGTTGGTGGAAGCCCCTTGCAAAGAGTTGGGAAATTCAATGTAACTTTTTTACTAACTTTTTTTTTAAAAACAGTATAAACTCGGTGAATGTCCAAAAGAATAGGCTTAGTTGTGACTTGGTGAAGGACATGGGTTTCAACAGGAAATTGTGATGGAAAAAGGGGGAGAAGGATGTTGCTCCTCCATCTTCTTTTGTATGGTCGGCACTTTAAACAGGGGCCTTCGTGCTGTCCTGACCCTTGGTGTGATGGGCAGCAGGTGTGTGATCTCTCCCCCCGCCCCCCCCATTGCCACATCGCTTTGCCCCCTTCAGAAAGTTAATAAGCCCTTTTAAATGTTTGCTTCAGTTTTTAGAGGGTTCCGAACCAGGCCAAGTCCTAAAGAATACCTATCTCATTCTCATCTTAATAGGAGGGGTTGACTTTTTATTTATTTTGTCGTTGCTGTTTCTTTTTAAACTGGTGGCTGTGCAGCTGGACTCTGCACGCGCTGTTGTGAACCTCTGGGAAAACCTCACTCCAGGTACGCTAGAGCACCTAGGTTAAACACCCCTCCTGGAGAGGGGTCCCCCTGCTCCCCTCCTCGCTGCCTTACAGGGAGCTGCAAATTCACCCTCTGCCCCTCCTGCCCCATCCCCTGCCACCCCACCTAGTCTCTAGCTGAATGATTCTTGCTCTGGTGACCTGAGCCCTGTGGACAAGGCTGGTCCCCAGGCTTAAGTTCCTACAAACACTGCCTGGTCGCAGGTGTTTGTCCTTAAAAAGCCACTTCCTCGCTGAGGGGCAGGGGGGTCGATGAACGCAAAATTCCCCCCCGTTTCTCTCCGGAGAGCTGCCTCATCCATCAGACCACCCGCACCATCCGAGCCTGATGCCCTCCACAATTCCGCATTGCATTGCCCCTGCCCCGTCAGGAGGGAGCGGACGTGGAAACCTGGGAAATAAAAAAGGAATTTGGATGAAGCTGTGAGCAAGAGGTGTGGCTGAGCCTTCTAACTTGCCTCAAACACAAGGAATAACGGTAGAGCCCATATTTTTGTGGGGGGAGGGAGGGGAAGGGGAGATCATGTTTTATTTTCTTGAAAGTTAATTGAGCTTGGTGATCTTCAGATGAGGCGCGCACTTGATTTATATCAGATTCTATAGAGAGATGGCTGATATTTTTGGAAAGGGAATGGGTCTATGCAAACTTCCAAAATTGCTTGAAAGATAGTTTAACATTTTTTTACTTTGAAATCTAAAGATAAATCTAACTTTTTTCTTAAAGCAGAAGTGCGTTTAGAAAGAGAAGCTACTTCCACTGCTCTATTTTGATGACGATTCTTGGAAAGTTTGGGCTGGAGGGAATGACTATTTTTCACCATTTTTATCTTGCTCCTCTAGTTTTGTTTCTTTTTCTAACGGAATGCTGTGCCGTCTTTGATTCAACAGATCGTGTTTGTATTTTCTGTATCTGGTTCCTAACGTAGAGAAATAACAAATATATGAGGAAATCAATATAATGTCAAATGTTGTTATGGTTTGGGGGGAAAAAATAAAGGTTTTTGGTACTTCACATTGATTCTTCTTGCTTTTTTTCTTTGTTTTAAATATATTTAAATATCTGCTAAGGAAGCAGGAGGGTAAGACAGGGCCTGCTGGCATGCAGGGACCTGGAATAGGATTTGGCTTTGCCTTCTAGGCTTTCCTGGGTGGCTGAGAGAGGAGATCCCTGCCAGCTCTTCCCTGCAGACAGGAGAAGGGCTGGAGAGGGAACCCGGCGCAGCTCCAGTGGAAGCAACAGCCTGCCACCTGGGTGAACTGGTGCCAGTGGCTGGCAGCGTCTCCTGTTCCCAAACACCCTGTCCTTGCCCCAGCTGTGCTTGAACAGCCCCATCCCACGCCCCTGGCCTGGGGGAAGGTGCTGCAGCCCCGGGGGGCTGGGGGGGGATCGCTTGCGGGCCCTCACAGCAGGTGCTGGGGCAGCCTGTCCTCTTCCCAGCCTGAATGGCAATCCCATTAACCGAGCTTTGAGCCAAGCTGGGTGTCTGGAGTGGTGATGCACGTAAAGGCTGGAGGGGACCAGGGCCCACGAGAGGAAGCGTTTTTGCCTTCCCCAACCCCACGTATGGAGCAGCAACACCTCTGAGCTCCACGCAGGGTCTTCATGCTTCTTCAGACAACCCCCCTGCGCCCCTCGGCTGTTCGGCCTCGCTTTTTCCTTCCAGCCGCAGCGTGTGAGTGCGTGGAGAAAGGGCTGGGGCGCAGGGTGTTGGAGCCAGGGGTTTCAAGATGAACCATTTCCCTCAGAACTCGCAGGCGCCCTGCTGCCGAGGGCGGCTGCCCGCTTGCATCGCCAGGTGCTGAAGGCAGAGGGGGGGGGGGGGATGCTTTAGCAGCTTCATTCCAGAGCTTCCCCTTCCACCGTGAGCGTGCCTCAAGGCTGTGAGAGAGTGGAAGCAGAGAGGGAGAGCCCCTCAGGCATCACCCCCCGGGCTCCGTAACACCAACCGACCTCGAAGCAGCGCTGATTTAATGTGGGAGTTCTGAGAATTTATTTCACAACCCGCCTTCCCCCCTGCCACCCCATCACGGGCAGGGCGCCAGCGGGCGCGCCCAGGGACTACATCTCCCGCCATGCTCCACGCTTCCCACAATGCCGCCCGGGGGGGTGGGCGGGGGAAGAGGGGGGGAGAGAGAGAGAGAGAGACGACGGCCGCCTCCGATGATTGGCCGTCTCCAGCAGAGGGGAGGGCGGGGCTGGGTCCGCGGCTCACTGATTGGTGGTGTCTCCCGGAAGGGCGGGGTTGGCGGGGCGGCAGGCCGGACGTGGCGGTCGCCATGGTGAGCGGGGCAGGGGGCGGCGGCTCGTTGCCGTGGGGGGCTTGGGCGGAATGGCGGCCGGGAACCAGCGCGGGGCCCACAAGGCTGCCCGCCCGCGGAGGGGGGAGGCTGGGCCGCGGGGGCCTCTCGGGGCAGGGTGTGGGCGGCGGGAGGCCCGGGCCGGAGCGGTGAGGGAGGGCGCCGGGAGCGCTCCCAGTACCGCCAGCACGGGTTGTCGCTGCCGCGGGGCTCTCCCCTGCCCCGTGCGTGTCGGACCCGCGGCTGCCCGTTCCCGTAACCCGGGGCCGAGCGAGCAGCCGCCGCCCGCTGACCGGTCCGGCTCTCACTCGCTCTCCCTTTGCAGGCCACAGCAACAGACCGGGTGGTTGGGTTCGGCTTGGTCGCCTTCAGCCTCGTCCTTTTTGTGTACTACACTCTCTGGATCATCATACTGGTACGAGTGTCCTCGGGCCATTCCCATCCTAGCCACTTCACACTCAGGTCTTTGCCCAGTCTTTGCTGAGGTGCTGATGTGTCCGTGTGCCTGAAGGACTCTGCCGTGCCACCTTCCTGGTTAAAAATTTCAGGGCAGAGCCTCCAGCGTTTGCTGGCACAGTCCCTGCCTGGGCAATGCCAAGCTCCAATCGTGCTGCCTGCCCTGCTGCTCGGAGACAGGCTGACCCGGCCGGTGTAAGATCGGAGGCTCACTTGAGCTCTCAGAGCTGAAGCCTGGTCGCTCTCGGGGTGTTGTCATTGCTGTTCATGTCTGCAGCCTTCCAGATTCCTGCTTCTGTTGGGAATTCACAGAGGGAAACATAAAAAGAGATGACTCCTACTGAATCTGGAGCCTGGTAGGGAGGAGAAGAGTTTAGAAAATGCAGATCTCTGGAAAAGCGATTGTGAGCCTGGTAGTTTGCTTGTGTCTAGGGACTCATCAGCTGGGGTCATTAGTGGTTTTCTTCCTGGAAAAAAATGTCTCCTTGTGAGCTTTCCAGCAGCAAGAGGCCTGGTCCCGCGCTGGGCCGATGTCTGAACTGGTGGCTTCCCCTCTAACCTCTGAGAGTTTTGAATTCCCCTCTTGCATCTGCTGACCCTGCTGCCTGGTACGTGTTTATAGGAGGCCCAGGAGCACGGAGGTGTGCTCGCCGCTGCGCAGGAATCCTTACACTGCTCTCTAGTGTCCAAAGCCTTCCCCTGGCCCCCGCGGAGGGGTGCTGGCAGGATCACGTGAAGCAGAGCCAGTATCAGCTTCTCCCTCCTGCGGGGCAGAGAATGGAGGGATTTGCTGTATTTGGGCTGGCAGCCGTGCCCACCCCAAGACCCTGGGGCTGCAGGACCCCTGTGCCAGCCTCACGTAGCTGCCCCTTGTTTGCTGCCCCTCATTTTCTGCCCGCAGATGCCCTTGCTGCACGCCTGCTGTCACATCCCTGCAGCTGGGGGCTGAGCCACGTGCAGCTCTGGGCACCCTTTTTTTAGCTATTTCCTCACACCTGATATTTCCATCCTGCTTTCAAAACCACGAGGCTGCAGGCGTCGGGGGCTTCCCCGGTGCTGTGCCCACCTGCTGACACCTCTCTGTCTCCTGCAGCCCTTCATTGACAGCAACCATGGGATCCACCGGTACTTCTTGCCTAGGGAATACGCGGTTATCATCCCCGTGGTGGCCGGGCTGCTGCTGCTGCTATTTATAGGTGAATGTTATTTCTGTGGTTCTAATTAGATGCTTCTAAATTAGGAAGAGAGAAGAGGGGGGAGCTGTGGGGTTAGCTAATGTGTGACGCTGGTGACAAGCTCTCCGTGGCTACTGCTGCAGCTTAGCCTGGCACGGGCTCTCAGGGTCCGTGTTTGTGTGTAACTTTGACTGAGCCTCTGGACAGTGGAATTGTTTCTTGCTCACTGCGCAGAGGTTCTGTTTCTCCCTACAATATGTTTTGAAAGTGCCCATAATTAGAAGTTTTCTAGCTGAATCTGTTCTCTCTCTCGTGGTAGGCATTTTTATAATGGTTGTGATGTGGAGGAGCAGGAAACCTGCCAAGAAATCGGACTGAAGGCCCAGGTGAGAGAGATGAGGAGGTGCCCGCCCTATGGCAGCGTGGCCGGGAAAAGACTTTGCCTGCAGCGCTGGGCAGACGCTTCCTCCAGAGCGCTCAGCACCGAGCTGCCCGCACTCTCCCACCTTCCTTCCTGCAGAGACAAAGCCTTCTGTAGCTCACAACTTACTGACCAAAGGGAAGCAAAACTGACCTCCAGGGCTGATCGAGAGGGACCAGAGCCCTGGCTGTGAGGGACCTGCTCCCAGCCAGGGCTGCCTCTGCCCGTGCTGGCAGGGTCCAGCACTTGTAACTGCCAGAGTGTGAGTAGAGCCCTGAGCCCTGCCTGCTGCTTGGCCTCTGGGTAATCCTTCCCCTCTGCTCTTGTGACCAGTAGTTTGTTCCTTCTGGGTTTTTTTAAATCTTTACCTATGGTTTAGGAGAGGGGAGGGTTTCATTGAAGTTTCAGAGGACAGAAATGAGACTTTGGGCTTGGAAAAGGCTGGCTCGCGTTCTCCACCTGCCTGCTGGTGGGCTCCTCCCTTCTGAAGAGGGGCACCTGTGAGGCTGGGCGTGCAGAGGATGCGGGGACAGTGCCACTGCTGCCCGCTGCGTCCCCTCCTGAGCCAGCCAGCTGCGGGGGTGCCGAGGGGACACCCTGGGGTCCCAGGGGAGCGTTGGGCTCCACCGCTGATGGATGCAGCTCCTGCCGCCCAGGCTGGGGCTGGGTGGGCAGGCGTGGGGGGCACCCCGGCCTTCCCACAGTGGGGTTTCCTGTCCTGGCTGCTCCCCCCAGACCCCAACAAGCAGCATCACCCTCAATAAAGGTCTGCAAGGTCTCAGTCCTTGTCCTCTGTCTGCGCTGGGCGGGGTGCTGCAGGCCTGCCGGGGTGTTCCTGCGGCGTGGCCGTGGCGGTGTGTGACGCCGTGCCGTGGAAGGTGCTGCTGCCCATGGGGTCAGGCTGGGGAGAACCTGGCTGTCCCCTCGTGGGGGGGCTGCCTCACCCTGCCTGGGGTAGCTCCAGCAAAAGAGGGGCAGGTTTGGGGCGCTCTGATCCTTTTTGCATCTACTGCCAACTTACCCTACCAGACGGCAGCGTAGCCCGTCGTCTCCCGTCCTGCCAGGGGGTGATGCTGGTGGCTCGGGGGTCTCGGGCTGGACATCACTGCAGTTTAACCTGCTGCGTGGTCCAGAGGCGCAGCTCTGGCTGGAGGTTTGTTAACAGCTCGTGGGGGGGCTGCAGGCTGCACACCCGCCCCGCTTGCCCGTCACTGTGCCCTCCCTCAGCCCGACTCCATCCTCCATTTATCCTTGCCTGTGTCTTGTTCCTGCCGCTTCTCAGGTTGAGGAATCCCTCACTCCCCGGCCCTTTTGTGTCTGGATGTGAACCATCCCGGCAAAGGGGGTTTGAGCTGGGGCAGGGGGAGGCAAAGGGGGGACAAATTTTGTCATGTCTGAGCGACTCCAGATGTGCCCCCCAGGCTCTGCTTCCTGCACTGGAGCCTGGCAGTGTCCCTGTCACCTCTTTTCCCCCCCAGTTGCAGCCTGTGGGGGACAGGTTTAGCACCAGTTTCGAGGTTACTTCTCGTATTTCTTTGTCAACAGTGAGAGAAAACAAAGTCCAGTTCCCCTCCCTGGGCAGGCGGGCGGCCAGCCGCTCGCTCTGCAGCCATTTCCCACGGGTGCTCTGCAGCTTGGTCCTGACGTGAGGGGCTGGGGGTGACAGGTTCCCCCCCCCCCGGGGCCATCAGATGGGGACTGGGGTACCCAGAGGGCTGCCAGCCCCGCTCCTGAGCCATTTTGGATCATTTTGGTCCCACCATCAGTGGTGAGCCTGGAGGTGAGAAAGGGGTTTGGGGACACGCGGGGGTGAGGGGGGGACACGACACCCCTCCCCGCCCACGCTGGAGGGAAGCCCGAGAGGGCAGAGCAGGAGGTGGAGGGATGGGTGCTGGGGTGTGTCCCGGGGGCACCCAGCGTGGGTGCTGGGCTGGGTCCCAGGACACGGGGGTCGGCGCCCGGGGGCGGTGCCGGAGCCCCGGGCAGGGGCGGGCGGTGCCGGGCCGCGGCCGCGTTCCCGGAGGAGCCGGAGCTCCGTGGCGGGGGCGGTCCCGGTCCCGGCAGTGCCCGCTCCGCTCCGCTCCGCCCCGCCGGCCCCAGCCCGGTGCCGCCTGACCGGGATGCGGGACCCGGCGGCGGCGGCGGCCCTGGGGGCTCCCGGCGCGGTGAGTGGGGCCGGGACCGGGGGCTCCGCTCCTCCCCCGGGGGTCGGGGGATGCACCCGCGGGGCCCTGGGGCGGGACGGGGGCCCTGGGAGACCCCGGGGGGTCCGGGGCACGGGGGGGTCCCAGCACGAGGCATGGAGGGGCGGCATTGGGGTACTGGGGGCAGGGGGGCTTCCCTGTGTGTTCCCCCCACCCCGTGCTGCCGCTGAGCCCGCTCTGCGTGCAGGGTGCGAGCCCCCACCCTCTGGGTGACCCCCCGACCCCAGCGGGCGACCCGCCAGCCCCCCGAGGATGAAGACGTTGGTGAGTACCCGCTGGGACGGAGGGCGCAGGGCCCCCGATGGGTGTGTGTGTGGGGGGGGTGAAGGGCTGGTGGGACCCCTTCAGCATCGGGGGGGGCGCCTCTCCCCAAAAGCGGTGCTGGGGGAGGACACGGGCAGGCAGCATGGAGCCCCGGCCCCGTGAGCGCGGCCGCACGGTGCGTCTGCAGGAAGTGATCGAGGCGCAGGCACCCCACGCTCCCCGCTGCGCCCCGAGCGCCCTCCCGGGCACCCTCCTCCGAGGGGCTGCTCACGCCACATGGCACCGCGGGACCCTCCGGCATCACCGGCGTGGGGCTGGTGGATGCATCCGGGCCCGGAGAAACCTCCCCGCTCTGCTTCCAGGTCCGGCTGTTCCTCACGCTGGTGTGCGTGGCGGCGGTCACCACGCTGTACGTCCTGTTGTGCTCCCACGCCTGCCTGCGGGCCTGCTGCTGGGCGCCGGGGGAGCACGGCCCCATGGCACCCACCACCCTCAGCTTCCCGGGGTACAGCCGTGTCCCCGACGGGAAGGTACGTGGGGATGGGGCAGCGCTGGGGCTGGTGGAGCGGCTCGACCTGCCCGTGCCTCAGTTTCCCCTTCCTTAGGGAAGGGCGGATGGGGCTGCAGTGTGGCGGGGCGCTGCGGGGGGGAAGGGGGAGCCGGTGGCTGACGGTGCATCTTCCCCACAGCCACTGGAGCGGGCGCTGTGCCGCCGCTGTGCCGTCGTCTCCAGCTCGGGGCAGATGCTGGGCTCGCGCCTGGGAGAGGCCATCGACGGGCAGGATTGCGTCCTGCGCATGAACCATGCCCCCACTGCCGGCTACGAGGAGGATGTGGGGGCACGGAGCACCGTCCGCGTGGTGTCACACACCAGCGTCCCGCTGCTGCTGAGGAACCAGCACTACTTCTTCCAGCAGTCCCAGGAGACCCTCTACATCATCTGGGGGCCAGCAAAGAAGATGAACCGGGAGAAGGTGGGCTCGACCTACCAGGCGCTGCTGAGGGTGATGGAGACGTACCCCCACCTGCAGATCTACACCCTGACCGAGGAGAAGATGACATACTGCGATGACGTCTTCCAGAACGAGACAGGGAAGAACAGGTACCACCGGCCCCCAAGGAGCCCCCATCGGGTCCCCCCGCCATAGCACCCGTCCCCCTTGTCAGGTACCCGTAATCCGCCTGGGGCCGCAGCACCGTGCCACCCGCTCCAGCGCGGCCGCGGTGCTTTGCAGGATAAAGTCCGGCTCCTTCCTGAGCACGGGCTGGTTCACCATGATCCTGGCCATGGAGCTGTGCGAGCAGATCTGCGTCTTCGGCATGGTCAGCGACAGCTACTGCAGGTGCGTGGGGGACAGCAGGGGTGGGCACGGAGTGGTCCCATGTCCCCTGCAAGTCCCGTGTCCATCCCATCCCCTCCCACCAGGGAGAAGAACCACTCGAGCGTGCCCTACCACTACTTCGAGAAGGGCCAGCTGGACGAGTGCAGGATGTACCTGGTGCACGAGCGAGCCCGCCGCGCTGGGCACAGGTTCATCACTGAGAAAACCATCTTCTCCCGCTGGGCCAAGAAGAGGAACATCATCTTCACCCACCCATCCTGGGCAGGCGGGTAGGGTGCCAGCCGTGGGGCGAGGCAGTGGGGACCCTGACAGCAGGGTGGCTCTCATCCCGCAACGACCTGTCTCCGCTCAGACGGTGCCACGGTTGAAAGCCTTTTGCTGCATCCGGAGTGGGGAGTCTCCGTCTCCACAGCGGCAGGGCTGGTTCCCCCAGCCAGTGGGGTGGGCTGGGACCCCCCATGTCACTGCACGGGGAGGGGGGGGCATGAGCTGGACCCATGGAGCCTCATCTGCTCCAAGCGCCTGCCCGGATGGACCCAGCGTGACCACAAAGGTTTTCCACCTGCTCTACTGGGATGAATATTTAATGCAGGATTAAACATTCATGTTGCTGGGCTCCAGCACAGCACAGGGCAGGAGAGCTCGGCCCTGCCAGGGCCACAGGCCAGTGCCTCTCCCAGGGATGAAGCTTTACCGCCGTCCCTGCCCTGAGACCCAGCACTGGGTGTGGGGCACGGGGAGCTGGGGCTGGGCCCCCCCGTCCTGCTGCCCCCGGGCAGGTCCCTGCGGTTCTGGCTGCCCCTGGGCCCCCCAGCCAGGAAGCCCAGGGGCCATGTGTGCCCCAGGAACTCTGAGTTGCCTTGTCACAAGTGCCCTTGGATTCAGACCAAAGCAAACATGGCCATTAAAAGCATTTTTAACTGAGTGGTGCCCCGTGCTGTGCCCCTTGCGGCTGCGGGACGCGGGGATGTGGAATGGCAGCTGGTTGCTGGGCTGCTGGCATCCTGCTCCCTGACAGGCTATAAATAAAAGGGGGGGTGGGGGGGTGGCGAGGGGGTAGAGCTGAGCCTGAGCATGAAGGAGGGTGCCAAAAGCCGAAATTATTTGGGGAACCAGCAGCTGCATCTCCACGGGATGGGCGCTGGCCTGGTGTGGATTTCGTGCTGGGTCCAGGGTGGTCCTCGGCCCCACAGGGTTCAGTGCTGCCGGGCTGCAGGCAGGACAGCGTGTCCCTAGAGAGACACGGGGCACGACACGGGCACCTGTGCGGCCCTGAGCCCGGCTGCGTGGAGCTGCCATAGCGGCTCTTTGAACCCATAACAGATTTCACGCGGTTGGGTGGGCCTGGCGGTGTCTGGGGGGCCAGCGGGGAACAAGAGGGAGCCTCGTTTGCTCCCGTCTCACCTGAGGCCAAGTGCTGGGGTCAAGTGAGGAGTGAGTCGTCTGGGCCCTGGGGATGCTGCCAGGACAGCTTCCCACGGCAAGTGTGGACAGAAAATCCGGTGGAGCTCCTCGCTGGGTGCTCCAGCTGCCACAGCCCCACGCAGCAAAGGGCATCACTAGCACAGCAGGGCTAAAATCCTTCTGGACAGGCGTCAGCCGCCGTAGCCGGGATGCAGGTCCCGGGCAGAGGTGCAGTCCCCTGCTCGCCCCACGAAATCCCCCGGAGAGGGGCCCTGGGCGGCCCGGCCAGCGCGGGGGAGGCGGCGGCATCCCAGCAATGCGGCCCCGTCAGGCACCACGTGCTGCCCTTGGCACCGGCGGGCAGAGCTGCCGGCCCGGCCCACCCCCCCCCCCCAAACCCCACCTCGCTGCCCGCACCAGTGCCCTCGGGGCTGGGACGGGGCTGGGGCAGCCCCGCTCTGAGCCATCGGGGCTCGGTGTTGGGAGAGCGGCACTAGGACCGCCGCGGCGCCCCAACGGGCGGGCGGCACTAGGACCCCGCGGCGCGCCCCCAACGGGCGGGCGGCACTAGGACCCCGCGGCGCGCCCCCAACGGGCGGGCGGCACTAGGACCCCGCGGCGCCCCAACGGGCGGGCGGCACTAGGACCCCGCGGCGCCCCAACGGGCGGGCGGCACTAGGACCCCGCGGCGCCCCCAACGGGCGGGCGGCACTAGGACCCCGCGGCGCCCCAACGGGCGGGCGGCACTAGGACCCCGCGGCGCTCCCCGGCCCCGGGTGGCAGCAGCTGCAGCAGCAGCGGCAGCAGCGGTCTCAGCTGCAGCAGCGGTATCGGCAGCGCAGCGCACTGCGGAGCGCTCGGTGGACTCGGCGGGTCCCCCCCCCCCCGCCTCCCCGCCCCGGGCCCGCTCAGCCGGTGCGGGGGGGCGGAACGGCGCCGTGTCCGGCCGGAGGAGCGGCCCCGGTGCACGGAGGGGGGGGGGGGGGGGGGGGGGGGGGGAGTGGGGGAGGACCGCGATGGTGCGTGGGGATGGAGCCGGCTCCTCCCCCCGTTTGGAGGCAGTGGGGCTCCGGCCTGGCCGGTGCTTGCAAAGCGGGGGTGCCGGGGAGGGCTGGCGCTTCCAGGGGTGCGGGAAAGGAGCGCGGGGAGAGGGGGGCTGCACCCCGGGGGGCAGGGCGGGGGTTGCATGCCAGGGTGGGGGAGGATTTGCACCTCGGGGGGCCGGGGGAGGGTGTTCGCTTCCCGAGGGGCAGGAGGGTTCGCACGGGGGGCTGGGGGAGCACCGGCACGTGGGGGCGGGGGAGGAGGGGGGAGCGGGTCTGGACGAGCCTTTCCCCGGCAGAGCAGCGATGTGACCCCCGGGGCTCTGCCATGGCCGCGCTCGCCGGAGGGGCCTGGCAGCCCCCCGCCGCCCCCGGGATGCACCGAGCGGAGGAGGAGATGTCGGGCCCCCCCCCGCCGCTCGCCGCCCGCTGCAGATGAGAGCCCCGGCCCAGGTGAGACCCGCGGGGTCCCTGCTGTGGGGTCACCCGTGGCCCGAGCACTACGGAGGGAGCAAAGCGGGGGGCCCCGCTCTGCTCCCCACCCTGTGCACGGCCAGGCCCCTTTACACCCCCATGCCTGGGCTCCCTGGGCAGGTTGGCACCTTCCCGGGCATCAACACCAGCCCTGAGAGCCTTTTGGGGGTCCCTGGTCCCCACGAAGGGTTGAATCCAGGCTGCTGCATAATTTTCCATCTCAGCTCCCCCCAGGGCAATTAGTAAAGAGGCTTCAAATTTTTTGTAATTTCCAGTTGCTCCGAGTACTCCAGGAGCTGCCGTGACTCATTAACGAGGACTTTAAAAAATAAATTGGGTCAGTCCATTTCTGCAAGCCCGGGAAAGTGAGGGTTAGAGCAGGTCCCCCCCGGGGCACCCCATGTGCCTCAGGCCCCAGGGCTGGAGAGGTCCCTGCCAGCTCCAGCTGGATTTAAGCCCAAGTATGAGCTGAGTTGGGCAAGTCTCAGTTCCTCTCCCCCCAGTCCGAGCCAGTTGGTTTAATGGGATTTCACCACACGAGCAGCAGGTTTACCCTCCCTAACCCTGCGGGTTTGAGTGTCTTTGGCCCCGCTGGTGGGGGATAATCCCTCCCTGGAGCCCAGCCCACCGTGGGGATCTCCCCAGCACGAGCTGTGGCCGAGTTTGGCTCTTCCACACCGCAGAGCCCACCCAGCCCCTGCCCACGGCATTTCCCTTCCCCACACCAGTGCTGGGGGGTTTGCTCTCCCCCTGAAAAAGGGGACCCGGGGGTTTGGCTGGGTGCCTGCCCAGGGGAGTTCTGCTCTGGCCCAGCCGAGCCGGGCTGCCCAGTGGCTCATCCTCTGTCCCCGCTGGCAGTTTGGGGACAGGAGCCCGAGCGCGGTGGCGAGGGGCTGGTGCCGGGGGTGACTGCGTGTGCCTTGCAGGTGCTCACGGGACGCTGGCGATCGCCGCGCGCTGAGGCTGGCACAGAGACATGAGTGGCAGCACGGTGAGTTGCCGGAGCATCACCCCGGGGACAGCCGGCATCTCCCCGGGGACACCGGGCATCCTGCTGAAGATGCTACCGGGAGCGGGGCTGGATGCTGACACCCGTGGGGTGGGGGGGGGCAGCGGCTGACGCTCTCCCCCCGCCCACAGAGCCAGCGCGCCGCCGCCCTGGGGGTCCTCTTTGCCCTGATCATGTTGCTGATCATCTACAGCTCCGGCAACGGGAGCGAGGTCTTCCCCTACAGCCACCTGCGGGGCAGAGCCCGCCGGCCCCCCGACCTCAAGAAGTGGGGGGTGAAAAGCGGGTACCTGCCTGTCTGCGGGAACAAGGTACGGGTGAGGTGGTGGGGTCCGGCCTCAGCGGTGGGCGCGGGGTCCAGCCTCAAATCGTCCCCGCCAGTGGGACAGCGATTCCATGGGGGGGATGGCGGTGCCGTGTCCCCTGTCCCAGCCCCGCCCCTCCCTGCCGGGTGGCAGTGATGCCAAAAGTCACCTGCTGACGATGCTTTTGGTCCCCAGACCCTGACTGCCCACTGCCACCAGTGCGTCATCGTCACCAGCTCCAGCCACCTCCTGGGCACCCGCCTGGGCACGGCCATCGACGGGGCTGAGTGTACCATCCGCATGAACGACGCGCCCACCACCGGCTATGAGGTCGACGTGGGCAACAAGACCAGCTTCCGCGTGGTGGCCCACTCCAGCCTCTACCGTGTCCTCAAGCGGCCCCAGGAGTTCGTCAACAAGACCCCGGAGACCATCTTCATCTTCTGGGGGCCGCCTGCCAAGATGCAGAAGAGCCTCCTGAAAATCATCCAGCGTGTCAGCGCCTCCTTCCCCAACATGACGGCCTACGTCGTCTCCCCCAGCCGCATGAAGCAGTTTGATGACCTGTTTCGGGGGGAGACAGGGAAGGACAGGTACCTCGGAGCCACCTCCCGCACTGTGTCCCCCCCTTTTATGTCCCCAGGGCAGAGCTGGCTCTTGGGGGCTGCTCCATGAGATGGCCTGCAGCACCGGGCTGGGGGTCCCTGGGGCAGGTTGGGGACCCTGGGGGGCAGGGGGGAGTAATCCGTCATCCATGTCACCATGCCCCCACCCCGTTTCTCCTCCCCAGGGAGAAGTCGCGCTCGTGGCTCAGCACCGGCTGGTTCACCATGGTGATCGCGGTGGAGCTGTGCGACGCCGTCCACGTTTACGGCATGGTGCCACCCAACTACTGCGGGTAAGGAGAAACCCCCTGCCCCGAGCACCCACCCTCAACCCCCCTGACCCCACCGTGGGTCTCACCTCATGCTTCCCCCCTCCTTCCTCCTGCAGCCGCCGGCCCCCACCCCGCCGCCTGCCCTACCACTACTACGAGCCAAAGGGCCCCGACGAGTGCACGACCTACATCCACAACGAGCGGAGCCGCAAGGGCAACCACCACCGCTTCATCACCGAGAAGCGGGTCTTCGCCAGCTGGGCCGGCCTCTACAACATCACCTTCTCCCACCCCTCCTGGCCCTAGGGGCTGTCCCCTGCCCCCAGCTGGGCAGACCCCTGGAGCTGGCGTGGGTGGGGGGGGGGGGGGTTCCCCTGCATCCCACGGGGAGCGGTGGGAACCGGGCATCGTCCCTCCCAGGGGGCCGCCGTCGTGCACGGTGGCACCGGGGATGTGCTGGGTTTTGAGCTGCTTTTTGGGGGGGCGAGGGGGGTGTCAGGTCGTGAGTGCAGGGTTTGGGGTCTGTCCCCCCCCCACCCCCTCCATGGGTGTGAGGTGTGGGGGGGACATCCTGGCTCACTGCAGCCCCTGCAGGTGCACAGGGGGGTGCCGGGTCCCCTCGGCTCAGTTTGGGGTTGCATCACTTTTGGGGCCACCGCAGAGACTGTTTTCCCCCCATCCCTTGGGTGAGGAGACTCCTTCTTGGGGCTCAGCCCCCCTCTGCCGACCCCAGCACCCCAATCCTGGTCCACAGGCATCCTCCCCTCAGCAGAACCCCGCAGTTTTCGGTGGGACCCCACAGGGATGTCAGTGCCCCCCTCAGTGTTCCAGCCCCTCCCAGCACTGCTGCACCCCACACCCACACTGCCAAAACCTTTTCTAACTGAGTGATGGGATTTTGAGGGGCTTTTTCAGTATTTTGTTTTTTTTCCTCCCTGCTTCTGGGGTTTGTATTTGGGTTTCCTGGCCAGGGGCTGCTCGTTAGTGGTAACGAAGGGGCTGGCAGCAGCCTCCGGTTGGGTCCTCATCATTTATTAACCGCTTATAAACTATTTAGAAGTGGGCACGTAGCAGGGTGGGCCTGTAGTGCCCCTCAGCACCCTGTGGCCAGGGCAGGGATTTTATTTATTTCTCAGCAGCGGAGAAGCGGGTTTGGGGACAATAGTGTGTTTGGGTGCCAAGCCCTGGCAGGACTCCGTGCCTCAGTTTCCCTCAGGCTGTGGCCTGTCCCTGTTGTTGCTGGGGCTTTGGGGGACTCGGTGCTGGAGGAAACTGTGGGGCATCTGCATTTTGTAATGGTTTGTACAGGAATAAATACTGCTGCAGTCTGTTGCCTTGGGCCCTGGCTCCAGGCTGGGTTTTTGGGGCTGGGCAGCGGGTGCTGGGGTCTTGGGTCTTGGGGGGCAGGTTGGGACCCCCAGCCTGCTGGCCCTGGGCGCTCGGGGGGAGGCGGGAAGGGGTCCGGTGTGTCCAAGTGGGATCCGTGTCCAGCAGCCATCCCCCAGTGCCTGCCCTGGAGCGGGTGGCAGCTGAGACCGCCCCAAGTCGTGTCACCCCCAGCCAGCTGCCCTGGGCCGAGGGGGTCTTTGCAGCCACGGAGGGGGAAGAAGAGGAGGAGGAGGAGGAAGGGCAGGTAAGGCCAATGCACCTCCCGGGGCTTTACCCCCCCACAAACACACACCCCCGGGGTTGGCAGGGTGTGGGGGGGTGCCAGCCAGGGTGCTGCGGCTGGAGGGGGACATGGGGATGGGGGGGGGGGCACAGCTGCCCCCTCCGAGGGGCTAAGGAGGAGGTGCAGGGTGGAGGTGCAGCGAGCCGCAGCGATGTCTGGGGGACCCAAAACCCCCGCAGATGGGGAAACTGAGGCACGGTGGTGGTGGTGGTGGTGGGAGGCAGCGCAGCCCCCCCCGGCCTGCGAGATGGGGGGAAGGAGAGGGGGGGAGGGGGTGAGTCCTCACCCCTCGGCCATAACTGCATCCCTTCCCCTCGCCCCCCCGGCAAAGGGGGGAACCGATGCTACGGGGGGGGGGTGGAGGGGGGGGGGGCGGGTCGTGTGAGTGTCCCCCCCGCCGGGCAGCGGCCCCGCTCCCGGCATGCACCGCGGCGCCAGCGATCTATATATAGCGGTAAAAAATAGCCGGGCAGGAGCGCAGGCAGCGGCCCCCAGGTCAGTGTGTGTGTCCCCCCCCCCCCCCGGGGGGTCCCGGTGCCCCGGCCCCGGCCTCGGGCGGGGGCTGTCACTGCTGCACCGGCCGCGGCGGGGGGAGCGGCCTGTGCCCGGTGATTCTGCCCGGGGAGGGGGCTGGTAGTACCGGCTGGGAATGGGGGGGGTGGGGGGGGCATTGCAGGGGATGCTGAGGGGGTGCTGGAGCCATTGTGTGGGTGCTGGGGGGGCATGCAGGGGATACTGGGGGGTGGGGGGTTGCACGGGGTGCTGGGGGCATTGGTGCTGAGGCACTTGCCTGGGTGCTAGAACCATTGCAGGGGATGCTGGGGGGGGGGGCTTTCATGGGGTGCTGGGGGGCTTGCAGGGGTGCTAGAGCCATTGTGTGGGTGCTGGGGGGGCATGCAGGGCGTGTTGGGGGGCTTGCATGGGGTACTGGGGGCACTGGCGCTGGAACCGTTGCATGGGATGCTGGGGATATTGGTGCTGAGGCACTTGCATGGGGGCTAGAACCATTGCAGGGGATGCTGGTGGGCTTACATGGTGTCCTGGGGGGGGGGGGGGGGCTTGCAGGGGTGCTGGAGCCATTGCAGGGGTGCTGGAGCCATTGCAGGGGTGCTGAGGCCTTTTCTGGAGGGATTGCAGGGGTGCTGGAGCAACTCGCTCCTGGACCTGGGGTCCTGGGAGGAGCTGGATGTGGATGGGGCAGGGACTGGGCGGGTTGGAGCTGGCTGTGGGGTGAGCGCTGGTTGGTGGGAGCACCCCCAGGGTGCTCGGGGGGGGTCCCAGGCTGCACTGCACCCCCCCCACCCAGCCCTGACCCGCTGGGCACCCCGGTCAGCACCCCCTCCCCATCTCAGGCACCAGGCACCTCCACATCACCCTCCCCCCTGCACCCATGGGCCCAGCGCTGTGCTGGATCAGGCCCCGAGCCCCCCGTGGCCCATCCGAGGTGGGTGCCAGCAGTCCTGGCACTCAGCACCCCCCACAATTAGGGGCCCCACGGGCCCCACACCCTCCCAGCCCCACCCAGACCCCGCAGGGGCCATCCCGAGCTTCGGCCCCACAGCGCAGGTGGGACGTGACTCGGTGCTGGTTTCAGCCCGGCCATACTTAGCCTCTGCCCTTTCCCTGCTGTAACACGACCTCGGCGGCGGCCGTGGGCTCCTTTGGCCCATGGGATGTCCCTTCCCCAGCACCCCGTCCGGCCAGTTTGGGGTGACGCAGTGCAACCAAGCGGGTTGGGTGCTGTGGGGCTGGGTGTGGGCAGGCAAGGTGGCCAAACCCTGCCCTGCCGTGATGGGAGTGCAATGGGATGCTGCAAGCCTCACCCCCTCCACACACCCCTTAGGGCACCCCCCCCCCAAAAAAAATCAGCCTGGGGGGATGCTGCCTCCATCGCTCGGTGTCCTGGTGACACCGGTCAACCCAAGCTGGTTTCCAGCTGCCAGGCAGCACCCCAGGCACGGGGATGTGGTCAGGGCAGGGGAGGAAGCCGGTAACGTCACCGCGCGTCACCCGGCCTGGGGAAGCCCTCACCGCAGCCGGATGGGGCGGGAGGCTGCCGGGAGCCAGGTAGGTGATGGCCGTGGGAGCAGAGAGCCTGAGCCCCCTGTTTTAGGGCTAAGCTGGGGCCCTAAAGGCCCAGCCCCCGGTTTGGCCATGGAGCTGGGCGCCGGCATGGCAGGGAAGGGAGAGCCGTTGTCTCCCTGGACCCCAGCCTTGGGGACTTGCGTGTCCCAGCTGTGCTGAGTTACTCATCCTGCTCTTCTCTCGCAGCCTGAAGTGCTCCTGTGCCTGGACCACAGCAGCATGTCGACAGGTGAGTGCTCCATCCATCCCCCTTGCATCCTTCCCCCTCAAATTCCCTCCATCCCCTTTGCATCCCTCTCTTCCATCCCTCCCCTCTGTCTGTCCCCCTCTGTCCCCACCAGCCACTTGGCACTGTCCCCACCCCTGGGGCTCACTGGGTGCTTGGAGGAGTTGAAATTTCACCCGGCTGTAATCAGGAGATGGGAGAGCAGCCTCGGAGCAGCTCGGCTTTATTTTTAGCTCTGCCTCCCGCCATGGCGTTGCACCCCGGCATCACCACACACCGTGGCTGGGCCAGATCCTGTAGGTGACACAGGACCCTGCGCTTTGGGTGCTCAGCAGGGGACAGGGCGGTTGGTGCCACCTGCACGTCAGCCGCAGGGCCCAGTGGCCGATGCTGGGGTTCAGGGACTGCCAGGGGTCACGCCAGGCGCTCGAGGTGGCAATGCCGAGCCTGCCACAGCCCCCGGGGTGACAAGCCGGCCGCAGGGATGGATGTGGCCGGTCCCTGCCCGCAGTGGAACCGTGGACAACGGCCATCTCCAGCACACCACGCGGCACTGGGATTCCAGCCCCACGGCCGAGGCACCATGGGGTTTTTGTGCTCAGCTGTGTCCAGCCCGGCCGTCCCACCCTGCCCAGGTGACGAGGACAAGGGGGACATGCGGCTGCTTCCCCCTCCCTACGACTCTGGAATCGGTCCCCTCCATCCCCGGGGAAGCCTGCCCCAGATCTAGCACCCCCCAGGGATACCTCACTCCCCAATGGGCTTTCTGGCTTCTGCTAACTATTTTTTTCTTTTTCTCTCCTCCAGAAAAACTCAAGCACCACAAAATCATCTTTGTGGTGGGTAAGTCTGTGTCTGGGTCCTGTCGCTGGTGGGGTCAAGGCCACGGCCCAGCCCTTTCCCCCTGCACTTCTGGTGTGGGGGCTGTGGGGAGCAGTCGGTGCCCAGGGCTGGGGAGCTGGGGCTGGAGGCTGAGGCTGTGGGACCTGGGGTGTCCCCGTGGCTCCAGCCCGGCTCCTCAAGGCCATGGTGGGGTGCACTGGGACTGGGAGGGCACTGCTGGCCAGGCATGGGGTGGCAGCATCTGGGGTGATATGACAGTAAACATCTTGGGGTGTGTGGGGGGGTAGTGTGTGTGTCCTGGGTGCCATCAGGCAGTGGTGATGTCCTGAACACCAGTGGGGTGGTGACGTCAATGGGACAGTGATGTCTTGGCTCCTGGATGGGGTGGTGATCTGCTGGGTGCCAGCAGGCAGCGATGTCCTAGGTGCTGAGGGGGTCATGATACCCCGGGAGCTGTTGGGACAGTGGCACTCAAGGGTGCTGATGGGGTGATGGTGGTGTCCTGCGTGCCGATGGCGTGCTGATGCCCTGGTGCCATCGGGCTGGTGGTGCCCACCTGCCAATTGATGGGTCTGGGGACACCGACCCCCACCTCACCAGGCTCTGGGGACTCCTGTGCGTCTGTGCTGCTGCTTCCACATACCCCTTCCGCTCCTTACCCATGGCTTGGGGCACGTGTGGCCCTTGCATGACTTGCAGGTGGCCCCGGCTCGGGGAAAGGGACCCAGTGTGAGAAGATTGTGCAGAAGTATGGCTACACCCACCTTTCCACGGGGGACCTGCTGCGGGCGGAGGTCAGCTCGGGCTCCGAGCGGGGCAAGAAGCTGAAGGCCATCATGGAGAAGGGCGAGCTGGTGCCCCTGGTGAGTCCACACAGGCCACTGCCTGCTGCACAGTGGGATGGGCAGGCCGGGGTGGCTGTGGAGGACACCAGATACCACGGTGATGGTCAGCATGTGGCCTGGGGGTATTTTCGTCCCTGCCACCCCAGGGGGCTTTTTGCAGCAGGGATTGGGGGTGCTGGGGGGAGATGATGTTGTCCCGTGTCAACCCTGGCAGCTCTGTCCTCCCCTCCCCAGGACACGGTGCTGGACATGCTGCGGGACGCCATGGTGGCCAAAGCCGATGTGTCCAAGGGCTTCCTCATCGACGGCTACCCCCGTGAGGTGAAGCAGGGAGAGGAGTTTGAGAAGAAGGTGAGGGCTGGTGCCGTGCCGTGCTGTGCCGTGCCACCCACTCTCCAGGCAGAGGGGTTCCAGCTGGCAGCAGCCCGGCCTCCCCATCCCAGTGAAGATCTCACCCCAACAGGGTCTAAACTGGGCACACCATCCCAGCCAGCAGGTCCCACTGCCTTGGGGACAGCCTGTGCCCAGGGTGTGGTGGAAGGGACATCTCTGGGGTGTCCTTGCACTGACAGAGGGTGACCATGGTGCCGGCGCAACGGCGATGGTGGAGAGCCAGGGCTTGGCTGCAGTGTCCCTCGGACCATGGAACGCAGAAGCCAGACACGGAACGGTGTCTCGGGTGGCCCCCAGACCCATGCGGAGGGAGGCAGAGGGTGGCGTGGGGACATCTGTCACCCCCATGCTCACCACCACCATCTCCCCAAACCAAGCCAGCCCCACGCTGGCTTGGCATGGTGACAACAGTGTCCCCTCTGCCCACAGATCGCCCCCCCCACGCTGCTGCTCTATGTGGACGCGGGGAAGGAGACGATGGTGAAACGCCTGCTGAAGCGAGGGGAGACCAGCGGGCGGGTGGATGACAACGAGGAGACCATCAAGAAGCGTTTGGAGACTTACTATAAGGCCACCGAGCCTGTCATTGCCTTTTACAAGAGCAGAGGCATCGTCCGCCAGGTAAGTGGGGACGTGGCCGATGCTGACACCCTCCAGCCCCGCGGCTCGGGGCACGTGTGGTCCCAGGGGAGGGGAAGTGATGGATGGGGATGATGAAGGTGGGGGGAAGAGCTCAATCCTGGCTCAACTGGGGGTTGGCTTGACACCTCTGGTTCCCAACACGGAGACCCCCTCTGAGGATGGCCCCACACCCCTTTGCCCTAAATCAACCCCGATCTCTCTGCCCATGGCCAAAATCCATCCCTGGAGGAGCTCCAGTCGCTCTGTCCCCTGGGGTCACCCCCCCAGCTAACCCCTCCGCACCCAGCTCAACGCCGAGGGCTCTGTGGACGAGGTTTTCCAGCAGGTCTGCTCCCACCTCGACAGCCTGTAGCCGAACCCCCGGCCCCGCTCCCCCGGCGCGCTCCGGCAGAGACAGCGGAAGCGGCTTTATCCTGTTTTTGTGGACGGAGCCGCGCGGAGGAAATTTCAAGGACATTGTGTTTGGCTCTTTCCCGTTTCTCCTCAGTAAAGTTCACTTTAATGAGCCCAGACTTTATCTTTTTCTTCTGTCGCAGGAAATGAGTTTTTCTTTCCAGAGATTTTTTTTTTTTTTTTTTTCTCTCCCCTGTCCACCCGCCCCCCCCAGCCCCTCGAGCTGATTAAGGGCAGGAAGCGGGTGTTTATCCCCCACAGGGCAGCGGGATGCTGCGCTGGGAGGAAGGGAGGGAGCATCCCGGCCTCTTGCCCCAGCTTCCCAATCCACAGCCTGCGGGGAGCCTGCGGCCGCATCCCGCAGCCGGTCCTGCTCACCCCGATCCTGTTCTGCTTCCTCACCCCCCTTGTGCCATGGGTGTGGGGGGCAGCCTCTGAGCCATATCCTGCACATGCATCCCTTCCCTCTGGCTCTCCCGCAGGCTGCCAGGGGCTGGGGGCAGATGGATTCAGGCCCAGCCATGCTGGGATGGGGATTTCCACCACATTCATGCCTTGGCATTTCCTTGGTTTTCGGCTGTCGGGGTTTTTTGGGGTACAGGGCTGCAATGTACTGTTTCAGGGTGGCACAATGCCCCAGAGGAGGGTGGTCCATGCCCTACCGTGCCATCGGTGCCAGCTCTCAGCCTCGGCTGCAGTGCTGTCCCCAGGGGTTGGGGGACATGCTGGGGACACCCACCTGAGCCAGGACACCCACCTGAGCCCTGCCACCAGCTGGGTGTCTTCATGAGTGGGGGACAGGGTCGGGGTCTTCATGGCAGGGGGGTGAGTCACAGCGCCCCAGCAGACGGGTGCTGGGGATTTGGGGGCTCCCCAGCACCTGCAGAGCTGCCCAGGCGTGATGCCACAGCAGAGGGGCTGCAGCAGGGCTTGGGGCTAGGGTTTACCCAGCCATGGTGAGGGCAGAGCTGTGACCCCAGCAGGGCCTCCCCCCACTCACTGTCGGGCTGCTGGGAGCTGGGCATAGAGCCAGGAGGCTGTGGGGGGAGCCGTGGGGGGCATCAGCACTGGGGGCAGCTGAGGTCACGGGGCCAGGGTGGAGGAAGGAAGCGAGCAGGGAAAAAAACAAAAATACCCAAGAAGAAAACCCAAATCCGCCAGATTGCGACATCAGCCCCGTGGCTGGGGCACGGAGGGGCCCGGGGCTCTGCGGGGAGGCAGCCGGGCGGCGGGGCAGGAAGGATGCGGCCATCTGGCCGGGGCTGGGGCCCTGCCAGCACCACTGAGCCGGGGCTGGGGCCGGCGGGCGCTTGCCTCGTGCCGGTGCAGACGAGGGGACAGGGGACGTGTGGTTTAGGATGCTACAGCCTAAAGCTGAGGGGCGGGGCTAACCGTCTCCCGTGTGCCTCAGTTTCCCCAGGTGGCAAGCAGAGCGGTGGGGCTGGGAGGGGGGACTCTGCAGTGCCTGGGCACTCTGCCCTCCTGCCCAGCGTGGCCCCCGGGAGCTTGGTGATGGGTTTTTGGATGCTTCTCTGGTTGGAAAGCCCGAGGCTGCCCCGTAATCTGTAAGAGGGGAAGATGCTGTGCTGGCGCTGAACGGGGTGCACATGCGGCCACCCCCCAGTCACCCTCCTGCCTGTCACCCCGTGCCCACCCCAGCGTCTATCGCCGAGGGGTTCCTGCTTGTCACCCTGCAGTGTCACCGCAGGGAGGGGGGTGCGGGAGGGCCAGGGGTGCCCGTGCCTGGTCCTGGTCCCCATCCCTGTCCCATGCCCGGGTGAGCACCCATCCCCACGGTCCCCAGGAGATGGCAGTGCTCTGTCATGGGAGACGTCTGCTGTTCACCCCAAGGTCACAGACATCTCCGGGGACATCCTGGCTGGTGGGGACAGGCCTCGTTGGTGGGGACATGTCCTCATGCTGTCCCCCAGCCAGCAGCTGTGGCTGGGGATGGAGATTACCGCCGGGGGGGGGACCTTGCTCACACCCCCACAGGGGTCCCAGCCCCACTATTAGCTGTGTGAGGGCTTTCACCTCGGGCAGCAGCGTTCCATGGGAGGAATGGGGCAGGGGGGCAGAAGTGGCTCCCTGGGTGCCCCCAGCCGCCCCCCTGACTCCCACCTCAGCCGTGTTTCGCTGTCACCCCCTCGCCCAGGCACTCCGGTCCTGGGGGACCTCCCACCCCCAAACCTGCCTGCCAGGCAGGGATGCCCAGGCAGTGCTCAGCTGGGGCCTGGCCGGGGGTACGGGCAGGGCAGGCAGCAGTGCTGGGGGACCCTCCGCCTGCCCCGTGGCCCCAGAGCGGGCACCCAGGCCCGTGGGGCAGTCACCGGCCCGGGACACGGGTGACCCTGCTGGGGTGCTGCCTGTGGGCGGTGTGGGCTGAATGTCGGGGTGCTGTGGGGCAGCCCCCTGTCCCCATCCCCTGCGGCAGCCCCCTCCTCGCTGCGTGGGTTGGGCTGCGCAGCAGCAGCAGCAGCGTGCATGGGGCGTGTTTGAGGGTGGGTGGCGGGTGCACCCCACCCAAACCCCTGCGTCCCACCTGTCCCCTCGCTGGTGCCACCCCAGAGGAGGGGGTCCCTGCGCCACTGTGTGTGTGTGTGTGTGTCCCTCACGGTGCTCCCAGCCCACCCCTCCAGAGGTGACACCCCCGCAGCAGCGCGCTGCGGGGAAACTGAGGCACGACGCCGCCGGCGGCGGCGGGGGGATGGAGGAGAAGGGGGGGGGGTGTGTGTGTGGGGGGGGGGGGGTCCCCATTTCCTCCCTTCCCCTCCCCGTTGCGGGCAGCTGCCGCCGCCCCCCCGCCGCCCGCCCGGCCCCAGCGCCGCCAGCGGCATTTCCTCCCGGCGCGGAGCCGCGCCGCCCGCGGACCCTCCTCCGAGGGGAGCCGGTTTCCTGCCGCCGCCGCCGCCCGGCACTCGGCTCTGGCTCCCGGGGAGCGGCCGCAGGCGGACATGGGCCCCCGCACCGCCCCGCTGCTGCCGCTGCTGCTGGCCCTGCTCGGCCGCCCGGGTGAGTGGGGCTGGGGGGGGCCACACGCACACCCCCCCCCCGCCCTCCCAACCTTAGACGGGACCCCCGGGATGGCAGCACCGCCGCGACCCACCGGTGACTCCGTCCCGGAGTGGCCCCGGGGAAGATGGGGGGGGGGGGGTGCCGCGTCCTCGCGTGGGGTGTAGGGGGGCGGCGGGTCTGTGGCCAAAGGGGTCCCGGCGTGGGCAGTGTCACCCCTAGGGAGAGAAGGTTTTGGGGGGCCGCCTCGGGGGTGGGGAGGGACAAAGCACCCCAAGCCCCGGGGGACACACACAGAGCGCAGCCCGGCTGCTCGCTGGGACACCCCCCCCCCTCAAAATCCAGGCTGCGTCACCAGCGTTCGGGAGGTGTCGAAGAGGCCGTTGCTGTGCCCGGGCCAAGCCAACGGCACCCAAGGGGTCTGGAGTGGATTTCGTGGCCTCCCAGCACCGTGGGGTGTGTGGGGAGGTCGACCGGGAGCTGGGGACAAGAAATGGGAAAAGCCCCGTAAAGCCCAACATGAGGCTTGGGGACAGAGCTTGGGGCTCGTCCACCTCCGGAGCAGCCGGGCAGGGAAGCACTGAAGCCACCCCGAGGTCCGTGAGAAGCCGCGGGGGGATTTCAAGGTGGGGGTCGTGTCTGGGGGAGGGCAGGGAGCTGGGGGACCTGGGGACGTGACCCGCTGGCAGAGGGAAAGGGAACTGGGAAGGAGGCAGCAGCCCGGGGAGGCCGGGGCCGGCGGCACTGCGTATCCTGGCTGGGTCGGTCCCTCCCGGTCACCGCGGGGGCCAGCACCGGTGGGTGCTGCTGGGGCGTCCCCGCTGCCAGGCTCGGCGCCCGCTCCCTGCCCACTGTCACCCGCTGTCACTGCCTGCAGCGGTGCCAGGCAGTCCCTGTGCAGTGAGGCTGTGCTATAGGGGCCACGTCCCCCGTAGCTCTACCCTACAGTCCCCATCCTACATAGATGTACAGTGAGCTCTGTGTTGTTCATAGTTGTGCCATTCGGTCCCCGTCCTATAGCTGCGCCATAAGGTCTGTGTCCTCTGTAGCTGTATGATACAGTCCCCATCCTATGGCTGTGCCATGCGGTCCCCATCCTACATATATGTGCAGTAAGGTCTGTGTCCTGCGTAGCTGTGCGATACGCTCCCCATCCTACAGTTGTGCCATATGGTCCACATCCCATGTAGTTGTGTCAGAGAGGCCCCATCTTCCCTATCTGTGATGTATAGGCCCTGTACCACGTAGCAGTGCCATCTGGTCCCCATCCTACACAGCTGTGCAATGTCATCTCTGTCCTCTGTAGCTGTGCCATACAGTCCGTGTCTTTTGTATTTGTCCCATACGGTCTCCATCCTATATGTCTGTGCCATACAGTCCCTGCACTATTATGGCTGTGCTATATGGGTTGAGTCCTATGTAGCTATGCCATACGATCCCCATCCTGAGTAGCTGTGCTGTATGGTCCCTGTCCTATTTAGCTGTGCTATATGGTCCCCATCTTACGTAGTTGTGCTATACAGTCCCCATCCTACATAGCTATTCCATACTGTCCCTGTCCTGTGCAGGGGTGTAATGCAGTCCCACTCCTAACTGTGCTATATAGTCCCTAGCCTACAGAGCTGTGCCATACAGTCCCTGTCCTGCATAACTGAGCTATACAGTCCCTGTCATATGTGACTGTGCCTATATGGTCCCTGTCCTGTCTGCTTTATAAACCACATCCTATTCATCCGTACCGTGTCATCCCTGCCCTATGTACCTGTGCTATATGGTCCCTGTCCTATGTAGCTGTGCCGTATGGTCCCCATCCTGCCTACCTGTGCCACACATACCTCGTCCTGTCCGGCTTCAGCCTCTCCCCCACAGGGACCCACAGAGCGCCCATGGTGGGTGCAGCGCCGCGGGACTGGGGGTGCCCACAGCAGACACAGTGCTGGGGGGCCTGGTGAACTCAGCAGGCTTCCTGAGGTGGGGGATTTTGTGCCCCCCTGGCCCCAGCAGGGACCAGTGCTGCTGCCCACGGGGTGAGCACAGTGCTGGGTCGTCCCTGCCTGTCCCTGGGGAGAGGCTGCTCGGCACCCGGCTGTCTTGGAGAGGGGCAGGAAAGACACTGCCTGCCTCAGCCTCAAAGCCTGATCCCATCCATCCCGACACCTGAGCCCCGATGCCGCCTCCGCACGGTCTGACAGCCAGCGGTAGCTCAGAGGGTGACAACCCCCCCTCAAGTTTGCAGCGCAGGGTCCGACCCCATTCCTGACCCTGGCTGAGACCGGCCAGCTCGTTACACAAGTGCCGAGGCGGCACAGCCGGATGCCAAGATGCCGGAGCGGCGCTGCCCGTCCCATGGGGCATCCTGTGCCACCGGAGCCACCCTGGCCCCGCACCCCCAGCCCAGCTCCCGTGGGCGTTGCTGTCTGCCCAGGGCCTTTGATCTGCTCCCAGAAATTGCCCCCCCCCCCCGGCCCCCAACCCACGGGGGAACCACGGTGGGACTGTCCCCACTCCCTGGTTTCGGCTGCGCCGGAGCGAGGGAGAAGGCAGGCGGCTGGAAAAGCATAAAGTGGATTTTCTTTCTTTCTTCCTTTTTATTTTTTTTTCCCTTTCCTGGAGTACAAAAATAACAGCGCCCTTATCTGATCGCCCCGGGCGGCCCAGCTGAGCCCCCTTATCTGATCCTGACATAATGTTGGAGCCCGCTGCCTTCCCCAGGGACTGACGGTGCCTGGCTGGCACCGCTGCCCGCATCCCCTCCGCTGGCATCCCTGCCCTGCGCCGGGTACGAGCCCGGCCACGGATCCCTGGCCCTGCCTGACTGCCCCGCGGGATGCTGCCGGAGGTGTGATGAGCTGCCCGTCCTCTGCCCGGCAATGCCAGGGGCTGCGCGGCCGTGCCCAGTGCCGTCGGGACAGGAGCGGAGGGGAAGAGGGACGCAGCCTGTGGCGCCCAGATAAGCAGCTGTTTATCTTCCTCCCGATGCTGCTGGCCGCACGGCCGCTGCGCCGGGGGGGAGGAAGCGCCGCACAATGAGTGGGCCCGTGGCAGCGTCACCGGGGGGGGTCTGCGCCGTGACCCTGCCGCCACGGCCACGCCACCCCGACAGCGAGACGTGGGCCAGGGACGCCGTGGTGGGCATGATGTGGTGTGAGTGGCCCTGTGGCTGCTACATCCCAAAGCCTCGATGACCTAGAGCATCGTGCCCGCTGGCCCCGGTCCCCATGGGGGCGGCTGGGTGGCCTGGGCACGGGGTCCCATCACCTCCCAGTGTGGTGGCTGGAGACACCAGGGACGGGGAGGGACGGGACGGGAAGGGATGGAGCTCAGTGGCCACCTCCACAGCAAACACAGCACCCCAGGCACCATCTCCCCGGGGGAAGCCCCCACCTATGGCTCCCCAGCCCCCGGCAAGGGGGCACCCATGGGTGCAAGCGGGTCCCCAGGACGCGTCGCAGCACAGAGGCCAGCTCGAGGACAGCCCGGCCGCAGCAGGGCTGTCCAGGGCGGGGGAAATGGCCGAGGCAAATGGGGATTTACAGGATCAGGCCTTCAAGCGGCTGTTTGCGCTCAGGATTTCCCTTGGCAGCCACCCGCCGGCCCCGCTCGCTCGCGCGCCGCGCGGGGGGTTTGGGCTGGGGCGAAGCTTGCACCTCGGCGCCTGCGGAGGATGAGCTTTACAGCCATTTCCATACCTGAGCTTCCCACTTTCCTGCGGCAACGGGGATGCGGGGGGGGGGGGGATGTCCTTCCGCCACCACCCAAGCGTTCGGGGCAGTCGGGCGTGAGTTTTGGCACGCGGCAGTGCCGAGCGGGGACAGTGGATTTTTCCAGCCCGGATCCGAGGGTCATTAACGTGATTACAGCAGGAGCTGGCAGCGGCAGACGAGCCCCGAGCAAACACGTAGCAGATGCTCCCGCGGGCGCTGCGCTGGGGGGTGCGGGGGCAGCGCTGGGGCCGGCGTCGCCATGCAGCCCCCTCCCGCATCACGTCCGTGTCCCGTCCCTTCCCGTCCCCCCCCCCCGGGTGTCGTGTCACCCCGTGGCCACGCAGAGGACCGACGGCTTCTTTGCTTTCCGCCCAGGCCCCGGGAGAGCCGAGGGCTGCGACCTGCAGCCGGTGACGGCGGAGCCGCCCATCACCCTGTCCTACACCACCAGCACCGTGCAGCGGGGCTGCGTCAGCAGCAGCTCCCAGGGCACCGGCCGTGACGTCCATGTCCTCAGCGTCGAGTGGTCCCAGGTGAGCGAGCGGGGTCCTGATGTGTCACCCTGGCACTGCCACCCCAACGCTGTCACCCCAACACTGTTCCCACCAGGCAGGGGGTCCCGGCTGCTGAAAACATTTCCTCTAAGATGCAGCAAGAGGACCCGGATTAGCCTCTTCCATTGTGCCCCCGCAGCTGCAGTGTCTCAGTCCTGATGGAGGTTTAAAGTCTTTAGAGGCAACTTTTCTAACAGCCCACGCTGCCGGGGCTGTCCCTGCACTGCATGTCCCCCCGAACCCCTGTTTCCCTGGGGAGGTGGTCTGGTCCCTGCTCAGGAGCAGGGCAGAGCCGTGGGCACCCGATGGGGACCACACTGGGGAGGAAGAGATGGAGGGAGGGATGGAGGGAGGCACATCACGTGAAGTCAGCCAAGCCAGCGGAAACCTGGCCACGGGTGTTGGCACAGCCTGCCGAGGGGCGATAACCACATTGTGGGTGCCCCAGGCATCTTTTGGGCGAGGAGGGGTGCAGAGCAGCGGCAGGGCAGGGGCTGCGTCCCCGGCTGGAGCTGGTACCGGTTGGCACTGTTGAATGGGTTTGCACCAGCACACGGGTTTGCGCGGCTCCTCGGCAGCATGATCTGGCTCCCCTCGTGCTAGCTGGGCCCCGGCAAACCCAGCACCCGATTTTGGCCCAGCCCTGGGCCACCCGGCGCCACATTTCCCCCACCCCGTTCCCCGGCGCTGCCTCCCAGCTCTCCCAGTTCTGCTTTTCAGAGGGAGGTGGGAGCTAGGCTGAGAGCTTCTGGGGAGGGTGGGTTTTGCAAGGGTCCCTCTGCCCCAGCCCGGTGTGACCTGGCCTTGGCACCCTGGCCGGGGGTGTCCTGGGGTTGTCACCGGCGTCGGCGGGGGACACACACTGATGTCACGGCTGTGGCACTGAGCCCTGCAGCACGCGGGGGGAGCAGGGCAGGGACGCGGCTCCACTTATAGAAGAATTACTGGAAGCCACTTTCTATAAGCAGATCCCCACGATGCAAAAAAAAAAAAAAAAAAAAAAAAAAAAAACCAAAAAAAGAAAAAAATAACCTGAAAGGCAGCGGCGAGGCTCCCACTGCTTGCGCAGCCGAACAATGGAGCGCCACAAAACACGCGGCAGGAAAAACAGCCGCCGGCTCCTCCCCGACGCCCGGGGCCACCCGGGGTCCCCGGCCACCCACGCTCGCGACGGGGCCACGGCCGGGCTGGGATGCCCCCAGCCCCGTCCCACCGGCCCCGTGCCCAGCAGTGGTGTCTGCCTCCACCCGCCCGGTCCCTGGCTGGTTTTCCCTGCCCGCTGCCTGGCTCAGCACTTTGCGAGCAGTGATTCAAGCAGCAGTTGCCAAACTTAGCGCCTGGTGTTTCAGCTTCCCCATCCGGATTTCCGGCTGGAGGCCACCAGGCAGTGCCGGCCACGGGGAGCGGTGCGTGCCACCGCTGTGTCCTCGGCATCCCTGCACACCAGCATGGCCAGTCCCGAGCCTGGAGCGGCTGCAGTGTGCTGGGATGGAAGTGGGAAACCCATGGAGGAGGAGGGATGTCCCGGTGCCTGGGGAGGGGATGCTCTGAGCTTCACTGGGGGGCACCCTGATACCTACAGTGGGGATGCTCCAGTGCCCAGAGTGGGGATGCCCTGGCCCTGGTGTGGGGGCACACCAGTCCTCAGTGGGGGGACACCCCCAGTGCCCAGTGTGAGGATGCTCTGGCTGCTGGTGTAGGAATGCCCCACTCCTTGATGTGGGGACATGCCCATCTCTGTTGTGGGGACACCCCACTCCACAGTGGGGTGACACCCTGGTGCCCAGTGCAGAGATTACCCAGTCCCTGATGCAAGGATACCCTGGTCCCCAAGGTTGGGTGCCTAGACCCCAGTATGGGGGTGCTCTGGACCCCAGTGTGGGGATGCCACTGTCCCCAAGGTGGGGGATGCCCTGGTCCCTTGCTTGGGGGAGCCCGGGGGTGTTTGCCCCCCTGATGTGGGTACCAGTCCACGTGGCATCTCTGCACCCCCTCAGCCTGCCCCTTAAACCTGGCCACATGAACATGTTTAAGGGCCAGACTGATGGCTCTCCCTGCTGCCTCCAGGGGCAGGTGGGGTGGCCGGGGCATAACCACGGAGGTGACAGCAATTGGGGCTTGGCGGTCACAGTGGTGACACTCTCCTCTTTCCCCCTCCAGACCTCTGCCTTCCCGCTCAAGGTGTTTGTCACACCGCGAGCCAGTGGCTGCACCCAGTCACCAGTGCTCATCCTCCTGTGCGGCCGCTGTTCAGCCATCATCACCTCCCCGTGCCCGGACCTGCTCATCCACACCGTGAGTGCCGCGGCCCCATGCCAGGAGTAACCCTGGGGAGGGGGCAGCAGGGCTGGGACCAGCCCCGGAGACATTTGGGGGAGGGTCAGTGGAGGAGACCGGTCCCCCCATCCCCGGAGACGATGCCTGTGGTGCCCCAGGGAGGAGGGGACGCGCCTGGCTGCTGCCAGCAGTGCTGAGCATGGGGCTGGCTGGGCAGGGAATGACGCACAGGGCTGGAAAAAGCTCCCGTTTCCTCCGGCCGGCGGGAGGAAGGTCAGAGATGGGGTTTGGCTCCAGTGAGCTGAGCCGAGGTCCTGGCGCTTTGTTAGCAAAATAAACCTCCTGCTTTGTTTGTGGCTAATAATAAAGTGGGCCGAGCTCCCCGCGTGCCGCCGGCCACCCACGCCACTCCCAGTCTGTGGCCCCAGAAACCCCCATTCATCTGGGGTGACCTCCAGCCACACTGGAGCCGGGGCTCCAGGGATGCCCAACGGGCTTAGCATTACACCTACACCCACCATGCCAGGGGAAAGGCTTCCCACACCTTCCCCACACCAGCCTGTGCCGGGGAGGGATGCACCTTGCCCCCAGCCCCAGCTCAGGCTGCTACTTGCCCTGCAGGATGCCCTCCTTGGCCCGGAGAACACCACATCACTGAGCCTCAAGCTACCCATGGCCACTGACAAGGGGCAGCTGCTGGCCTGGGCTCAGGATGCCTACAGGGGCATCACGTCCTACAGCGAGGTGCGGGATCCCCGCTGGATCCAGCTCCGCCTGGGAGAAGGTGTGTGGGGCTGGGGGCTGGCACTGGGGGGCCGGGGCGGGCAACAGTGCTCCCAAAGGGTGACAACCCACCGGGGCAAAGCACGGTCCTGGGGGAGATGTTATGGGGACCCATGCTCCTGTCCCTGAGCACCTCCCCACCTGGTGAGCCTGGTTTGGCTTTGGTGACCCCCCCCCTCCCGCACACACCTCCACAGACACCAGCAGCCCCCCGGATTGCATCCCCCAGGAGCACTTTGATGCCATGCCACACCTCGAGACTGAGGTCTTCTTCCACGCAGTGAAGGGCTGCTCACATGGGGATGCCCAGAGCACCAGGGCCGCCCACATCGTCCACCTGCAGCCCAAGCCCAGGTACCGGGGGTGTGGGACAGGCGGTGGGACGTGCTTGGAGGTGCTCAGGAAGGGGTTGGGGTTCTCTCGCAGGCAGAGACCCTCCACCCCCATCCCAAGGTGGGTATGGGACCTGCCGGTGTGGGATGCTGATGCTGGGTGGGGGATCTCGGGGGGTTTCGCAGCTCCCCCATCACGGAGGTGAACCTGTCCCTGAGCTGTCCCAAGAGAGCCGTGAGCAACCAGATCCTCATCCTGCAGAGCCGGGCCAACCCCACCTGGTCTCTCTCCATCAACAACTGCGACATCCAGTTCCTGGTAGGGCCGAGAGGGATGTGTGTCCCCAACACCAAGGGGGCCGCCAGATGCCCAAGAGATGCTGGTGGCACGGGGAGGGTGGCAGGAGGGCAGCTGGGGACGCTGGGCATGGGGAGGTGGCAAGCCCTCCTGACAGGGAAAAACCCCGAAGCTGACCCTGCCTTGAGCATCCCCAGTTGTCCCCATCCCTGCTCAGCCCCACCCGCGCTGTCCCCCTCAACGCTGCCATAGGTCTCCGGGAACTACACAATCATGCCCATCTCCGTGGGGCTCCGTGGGGAGCTCCTGCCTGACACAGAGGAGGGCCTGGTCGCCAAAGCCTTCGAGAAGAACTACAGCGTCATTGCCTCCTACTCCTCCATCCCCGCCAGCAGCCGCATCAGCCTGGAGATCCAGGAGCAGGGTGAGGCTGCAGATGCCCCATGAGTGGGTGGGATTGGGGAGGGTCCTGCTGCCCCCACTCAGTCCCTCCATGTCCCTGTCCTGCAGAGATGGCCAGGAGGGTGCCTGTGACGACACCCACCGCCCCATCCTCCACCATCACCCAGCTGCCCCACATGCTGCTGTTCATGCTCCATCCCTGGAAGTGCACGGATGAAACCATGGAGATTGTCATTGCCAGGTCCCACCTGGAGGTGAGACAGGTGGGGGGGCCAGCATCACTTGGGGGGCGGGGGGCTGAGGGGTGGTGTGCCATCCCACTCTGGGCGCTGGGGGTGGGTGGCACGGGGATGTCCCCAGCCGGTGGGTGACCGCTGGGTGCTTTTCTCCCAGCCCATCAAGGACGTGGTGAACATCACCCTGCGGGACATCAGCTGCCAGGCAGAGAAAAATGCCACCCACTTCATGCTGAAAACCCCGCTCAGCCACTGCGGCACGTCACTGGAGGGCAGGGGCCACGCCACCAATGAGGTGAGGGGGGGCTGGCGGGGGCACTGCCCCCAGCCCCGCTGATGTCCCCTGTGGGCTTCAGTGATACCCAGTGGGGGCTTCTCCACTGGGACCCCCTTGCTTTTGCACGGCCCGGGTGCTGGTGGAGATGGGGAGTGGGGACAGCCCCCCCCCCCCCATCACATGGTGGGATCCCCCCGATCCCAGTGGGGACAATAGGTCCCAGCAGTGGGAACCAGCTTGGCTGACCCAACCCTCCCCACCTTCTTGCAGCTCATCCTCAACCTGGCCAAGGGTGCAGAGCTCCAGAGCGTGCGGGTAAGAGCTGGGTTTCCCAGGGTGGGCTGGGGATGGGACTGTGGGAGAAGGGTGCTGGTGGCACTGCTGGCTGGGTGCTGGGTGCTGGGGGGGGTGGGGTGGGTTGGGGGGGGGTGGCCTCAGCACCGTCCCCGCTTGCAGGTGGCCTTCCAGTGCAACATCCCACGGGAGCTCTTCCTGCGCCTCTTCCCCACTGCCGCCTTCGAGGCACCGCAGACGGAGCTGGAGGTCAACAAAGAAGCCTTCGTGCAGGTACCGCCACCGTGCCCGGGCTGGGAGGGGCATCCAGCTGCCCCCAGGCTGGTGGTGACCCTGACGGTGTGTGTGTCCCCCCCCCTCCCACCCCCCCCCGGCAGGCGTCCATGCGGTGGGAGGACCACCCAGCCGACCTGCAGCTGAAGGAGTGCTGGCTGGTGGTGCCGGGGCGGGAGCCGGTGCTGCTGGTGCAGGGCGGGGAGGCACGGAGCGTGGGGGTGGCCGTGCTGGAGGCCCCCCCCAGCAGCCACGGGAGGAAGGTCTGGCGCTTTCGCTTCACCTACGCCGTCCCCGAGGGCGGGCGCGTCCCCTTCTCTGCCAACCTCAAGTGCAAGGCCGGCTTGCAGGTCAGCATGAGTAACCCCCCCACACACACACCCCGTGATGCCAGCATGCTGGTCCCCACCATCAGTGGTGGCAGCTTGGTGGGTTTATCCCACGCCGCCGGGTGATGGAGCCCGGATGGCAGCAGCATCCCTAGTCCCCAAAGAGCTGGGGGCTCCTAACCCTGTCCCACGGCGCCGGTCTACTCCTCTCACCCCAACCTCCACCTCTGCAGAACAACACCATCTTCGAGAAGGTCCTGGTGGTGACGTTGAAGGATGGCTGGCAGCCACCCAACAGTGAGTTTGGGGCAGGGGAGGGGAATGGGGGTGGGAAGGGGACCCACCCACCCACACCCACACCCACAGCCGCGGTGGTGCTGACGGCCTCATCTTCCCACAGATCGTGGGCTGGGGCTGGCCGCCGTCCTGGGCATCACCTTTGGTGCCTTCCTTATCGGGGCTCTCCTCACCGCTGGGCTCTGGTACATCTACTCGCACACCCGTGAGTACCTACCACCCCTGGGAACACCCACGGTGGGATGGGGGTGGCCACGCGTGTGTTTTTTGCTGGGTTGCCCATGTTCCCCGCCCCCCCCCCGCCCATCCCAAAGCCCCCGGCCGAGGTCCCCAGGTGAGCCAGGGACCAGGCTGCTGCGTTGCCATCATCCCTACGGCCCTCCTGGCAATGACAGTGGAATAACCCTGCTCGGGGTGGCCAAGGCTCCCCAGGGTCCCCTCTACAGCCCTGGGGTCCCACCTGCCCTCTTGCCTGCTCCTGGTGCCACCATAGCCCCCCCCTCCCCGTGCCCATCTCCATCCTGGGGGCTCAGGGGCCAGCTGGGGAGCGATCCGGGACGGTTCGTGCATGGAGGGCTGGAAGGTCCCGTGGGGATGAGCCGTGGCCACCGCCGGCCGCCCTGAGTCTGGTTTCCCCTCGGTGTTTCTCCCCCCGGGCCCCGCGGCGGGCGGCGTGAGCCAGGTCCCATCTCCAAACTGCAGCCGGTTTCCAGCACGGCGCCGGCCTCGGAGAGCAGCAGCACCAACCACAGCATCGGCAGCACCCAGAGCACCCCCTGCTCCACCAGCAGCATGGCCTGACTCCCCCGGGCCCCCCCGAGCCTCTCCAGCCCCCGGCCGCCGGACTTGGGGATCCACTCCGGCCCCATTAAGCTGTTTTTTTGCCCAATATCTCAGGCTGAGCCCGGAGGGGGCCTCCGTTACTCATTCAGTGAATGCTTTGGCCCCCTGAGGGCAGCCCATGATGGAGGGGGGGTACCCTGCAACCCCCCGGGGGTCCCCCGCTGCTGGGTGCACGGGGGAAGCGGAGAGAGCAGCTATTGCCAAAGCCCTCCCCAAGACTCCCCATCAAATGGGGGAGGGGGGCAGAAGTGGGTGCCCCCAGGACATGCCCCAGCACTTGGGGTGACCCCCGCACCCCTCCCACGTCCCCCCCAGGAAGGCAGCAGGCACCACTGGGAGCAGCAAGAAGTTTATTGGGGGGGTGGAGGGCTGCTGCCCCACCATGGGGTGATGGGCAGAAACCACACACCCCCCCCCAACCCTGCAGCTCCCTGTCCAAGTTACAAACTCCTTATTAATAATAATAAAAATCTCCCCTACATTAAATTAGTGGTGCCCTGATGCTGAGCCTCACCGTGGCTTGAAGCTCCCACCTACCACCCCCCCTGAAACTGCCCACCCCCCTCCAGGCACTGGGACACCGGCACAGCCTGGGGGCCACCCCAGTCAGTCTCACCAAGATGGGTGGGGACTGGGAGCATCCCCACCCCACGGCCAGTGTCCCCGGGGGGGCACAGGCAAAAGGCACTGGGGTGAAAAGGGCCGAGCCAGGATGGGGTTGGGGGGTCCCACGTCCCCACCCCAGCCGCCTCCGAGCATCATCGGGGGCAGAACCGGCTCTTCAAGTAAAAAGAGGTGCAAAGCCCCGTTCCTCCCCCCACACACACCTCCCTGTTATTGGGAAAGAGAAGGGTCAAGCAGCCGGAGGACCCCCCCCACCAAATGCAGGCTGCCGGTGACCAGGACGCGGACGGCGGCCGTCTCCCGCAGCAGCACGGCCCCGCTGCTGGCAGCGGGGTGGGGGTGAGCCCCCGTGGCGGCCGGCGCTGCCAGCCGGGGGTCCCGGCCCTGTGCCACCCACCGCAGCGCCTGGGCCAGGCAGGGAAACACGAGAGCTGGCGAATTGAGGGGTCGCGGGGCCGGGGGGACCAGAAGCAGAGTCCCTCGGGCGGGGGCTGGCTGCAGCAGCCCCCCCACCCGCAGGGGGGCCGGGAGCCAGGGGTCCTGCCCCCCCTTCTCCTCCAGCAGCCGGGTCCACGTCTGCTGGTTCTCCAGGCAGCGGGTAAGAGCGTTTTCCAGTGTTACGTTGAAGTTTTGCTGGTCTGGGAGGGATGGGGATGGGGGTCAGGGATTAGGGGGGGCCGGGGAGGGGTCGGGGATGGGGTAGGGGGGGCCGGGGGAGACCCCGGCTCCCCGGCACTCACCCGCGTTGCTGGCCATCGACACCTGCGTGAAGTTGGGGCAGAAGACGGCGTAGTCGAAGTGGCAGGGCTGTGGGGAGAGGAGGGGGTCAGCGCTGTGGTAGCCCTCAGGACCCCCGCCATGGGATTTCCACTGGGACCAGTCCCCTACCGGCAGGGTTACAGGGGATTGTTCCAGGGAGGGGGTGATCCAAGTCCCACCCCCCTGCACCCAGGGCTGTGAGACGCAGAGGTAGGATACAACCAGGGACACCCGGGTGGACAGACAGACAGACAACACAAGGCATCAGCTCCACCTCGCGGCTTCTCACACCCACAGCAAAGCGGGAGGAAGGGAATCCAGGGTGCAGTGATGCTCCCCCCTCACCCCTCTGCTCCCAAAATCTCACCAGCAGTAGCTTGAGCAGCGCCGCCGTGTCCCGGTCCCCCGTGGCGTTGAAGAGCAGCACGCGCACCTCGGAGCCACTGCGGGGAGAAAGGGCAAGTGGCCCATGCCCCACGGGGGACCCCCAGCCCCACCACCGCGCCCCCCCACCCCTCCCCACCCCGTGTGTGCGTCCCTCGTGTCCCCCCTCCTTACTCGTGGGGTTTGTCCTGGTTGAGGGCGGCCTGGCGGAACCAGCGGACGCAGGCCTGGATGCTGCTGGTGGTGTGGGCTCCGTCCAGGTACCACGTCACGGGGCCACGGGGCAGCACCTGGGTCCGGCCCAGCCACTCTGTGTCCCGCAGACCTGGGGGGGGTGAGGGGGGGGGGGGACAGGGTATGGCTGGGACCCCCATCCAGCACCGGGACCCCCACCGGGATCAAATGCGGGGCGGGCAGCCCAGTTGTGCCCTCCAGCATGGGCAGCATTGGCTGGGGGCTCAGCGTGGCCCCCCCAAATTGCGCCCTGTGACATGGCGGGCGGGGGGTCCCGGCCGCAGGCATACTGCACCTTGGATCATGGCGTCGGTGGGTCGAAAAGCGGGCGCCAGCGGCACCGTCCTCCCCACCAGCTTGGCGGCTGGCAGCACCTCCTTCAGCTCCCCGAGACCTGGGGGGGGACGGACAGACACCCCGCTGAGACCTCGGGGGTCACGTCAGGGTCTGACCCCCCCCCATTCCCCTGTGGCCCCCACCGCCCACCTTACCCCGGCAGCCGCGGCGCTGCAGCCAGGTCCGTGCCAGCTGCAAGGCCAGGGCGGCGTTGGAGCGCTGGTGGGCACCCGCCAGCCCCAGCTCCAGCGCCCGGCAGCCCCCCTCGAAGGCATCCAGCTCCGGGCAGAGGTAGAGGGGACACTGCAGGGAGAGGAGGCTGAGTCCCCCGCCGTGGCGTACCCCCCTCCAACCCAGCCCATCCGCCCTCCCACCACCCAACTCACCTCCAGCTCCTGGGCTCGGTTCCTCAGCACCTCCAACGGCCGCTCCGGCTGCGCCACGGTGAACGCCGGCACGCCGGGCTGCGAAGGGTGGGAGTGCTCAGAGCCACAGCGGAGCGCACCCCAAAACCAGGAGACGGGGAAGGACCGGGTCTTCCTACCTTAAAAATGCCCCCTTTCTGCCAGGCGATCTTCTCCATCGTGTCCCCCAGGATGCTGGTATGGTCAATGCCCAGAGAGGAGACCCCACACACCACCGGCGCCCTGGGGACACAGCGCGGCAGTGTCCCCACTGTCCCCCTCTTGCCATGGGGACATCAGGCCCAGGGGACAGGCTCAGCCCCGCCAGCTCCTACCTGATGATGTTAGTGCAGTCGTAGGCACCGCCAATGCCAACCTCCACCACCGCCAGGTCCACCTGGGGACACAGGGACACCGGAGCCATCACAGGGCCACCAGCACCATGTGTCCCCACGGATTCGGGGATGCAGTGGCGGGGGGGGACGGGTCCCTGCCACTGCCCCTCCAAATATGTGCCTCAACACATGACCCACTTGTGGGGGGACCATCCTACTGGCACAGCGTCCCCTGCTTACAGCCGTGACAGCCCGACCGATGCAAGTTCTGCCCCAAGTGGGGGCTGGACCCCACATTTTCCCACCCCGCCCCGAGCTTCCCGCAAACCTGAAGTCCCCACCACAAGCTGAAGGCCACCACCACCACCCACCTTCTCCTGCAGGAAGACGTGGAAGGCCATGATGGTGAGGAAGCGAAAGTACGCCGGCATGCTGGCGTGCACCGGGTCCTGCCGGGCAGAGTGGGCGTAAGGAGACAGTATGTGGCATCCCCAACTGGCGCTGGGGCACACGGCCCCCGGGGAGGGAGGGGGGGTTCCCCGAGAGTGGGAACACGCCCCCAACGAGCCCCGCTGCCCCCACCTTGGTCTCCTCCAGGCGGTTATAGACGAGCCAGAAGTATTTGCTGAAGAGCTCCTTGCTGATGGGCTGCCCGTTGATGCGGATCCGCTCGCGCACCTGCACCAGGTGAGGGGAGCTGGGGGGCAGAACGGGGCGGGGGGGGGCCACAGTCAGGCACAGCACCACCAGCCCCCGCCCCCCCCCCCAAAAAACCCTCCCCCAACCCCTCCCACCCACCTGTAAAAGCCCGTCTTCAGCCCATAGCTGCGGAGGATGCACTCAGTGAAGGCGCACGCCGAGCCCTGGGGAGGTGGCAGTGTTAAACCCGCCCCCCCCCCACCCCCAGCCACAGCAGGGCAGGGGCAAATGGAGCCAGAGACGCCGGTGGCCCCCCCAAGCCCCCCCAGCACCGCCCGCCCGCCTCACCTTGCCCTTTGTCCCCGTGACGTGGATGATGTTCAGTTGATCCAGGTCCTCGACCTGCCGGAGGTCAACCACCCCGTGAGACCCCCGCGGCAGCCAGGGCCGAGCACGGCGGCACCGCTGCTAGGATTGGGGGGGGGGGGACGACACACACACACATATGCACAGGGATGGGGGGACAACCCCCCCCCCAACTCACTTTCAGCCCGCTCCTCTCCAAAAAGCCGCGCATGGCTTCCAGCTGGGCCCGGGGGTCGCCGCGCTCCCGCTTCACCTGCTCCAAATAGCTGGCGTTGGTCTGCAGGGTGTTGAGGGTCCGGATGGCGTCCTGGAGAGACACCCCGCCCCGGGGGGTGGTCAGGATGGCGCCCATCACCGCTGCCTCGGGGCTGCGCCCCACCAGCCCGACACACCCCGACCCACCCCATCGGGCTCGGACCCCTCGGCGCTGCCCGCGCCCACCCACGCCGGCAGCATCTCCGCCATGGCCCCGCGGGGACGCGCTGGCAGTGCCAGGGCCCGTCACGGGGACACGGGCTACTTATCGGCGGGGGGAGCTTGCCCCTCCCCGGGTGCCCCTTGCCCCCGTGGGCGGCCCAGCACGCAGCACCCACCCCTGCCCCAGCGGGACAAGGGCACCCATGGGTGCGAGCGGGCGGCGCTCCAGCGCCGGCCCACCCACCCCACTGGTGTCTCATTATCGGCGCAAAACGAAGCGGCTGCCGTGAGACAACTCGGCTGCGCGCCCACCCGTGTGAGCGAGTGTCACCGGTGCCACCGAGACACCCCCCCCCCCCCCCCCCCCCCGAAACCCGCGCCGGGGGGACGCGGGGCTGTGCGCTGCAGCAGGAGACCTGGCGTGGGACGAGTCCGTGTGAGGACGCCCCACTCGAGGCGGCCGGACCCCGTGTCTGCAGACGGTGATACTGGCACCGGTGAGCGCGGGGCGGGGCGGGGCGGGGGCTCCGCACCGTCGCTCAGCCCCCGGGGGCCGCCGTCGTCCCCACGACGCCGGGCAGCCCACGCGTGCCCGCGACGCGCCGTGGCTGCCTGTCTGGCTGCCGCGTGCAGGCCGGGGTCACCCCGGTGCTGCCACGGGGGAACGGAGGTTTTTCGGGGTGGGGGGGGCAGCGGATAGAAAGGCGCGGTGGGGAGCGGCGGGTTGGCGCGGCCCGGGGCTGCGGGAGCGGGGGCTCGGCCGCCCCTCACGGTACCGGAATCGCCTCGCTGTGTCCGTGTGCCCGTCCGCACCGCCCCCCCCCCCCCCCCCCCGCCGGTACCTGATAGTCCATGGCGGGGGCGCGCGCCGGCCGCGTGCTGAACCGGCGCCCGGCGGCGACAGCCCGCAGCGCCCCGCGCAGCGCGCGCAGCCCCCGCGCCACCATCCCGCCGCGCCGCGCGCCTGCCGCCGGGAGCCCGCGCCGCCGCGTGGGGCGGGACCGCCCCAACCCCCCCCGCCCCATCCCGACCTGCCGCCGCCATCTTTGAAACGGGCAAGTACGCCGCCACGTCGGAGGAGGTGACGTGGGGGGGGGGCGCCATCTTTGTGAGGGGCAGCGAGGGAGGCGGGCGGCCGGCTGGGACCCTTCCTTCCCCCCCCACCTCGGGCGAGGTTTGGCGTAGCAGCAAGCCCACCCCCGGCTTGAAGTTCCTCCAGCGCTGGGGTCCGGCTGAGCCAGGACACAGCCCAACAGCAGGGTACAAGGGGCAGCTGTGGGGCGCAGGAGCCCCCCCCCGGCCCCTCTCCAGCCCCCATGCCCAGCAGCATCACCTTCAGCCGGTGCCAGCAGAGCTGCTCCCAACAGCCTCCTCTGCTGCTGCATTAATCTACTGCAGCACTAATTGCGCTGACCCTCCATCCCATTAACAGTGCGGGGGGGCAGGCAGAGCCGGGCACCCCTGGCACTGGAGTCACCCTGTCCAAACCCGGTCGCTGTCCCTGGGGATGACAGAGGTGCTGTTTTACAGCACTCCAGCTGCTTTCTCCCTTTAGGCAAAGGAGTGACACAAGGTTAAAACCAGCCGCTTGGGAAAGGACCATGTTTATTCACAACCGGCAGAAGTCATCTGGCTTATTGCTTGCAACCAACTTCATTTTTCCCAAAGAAACCAAGTCCCCCCAACCAGGCACTGTTTCAGAGCCCCACACCAAGAGAGATTTACCTTGTACACGTCCTTTATCATCCTCACTTTTTGTCCTGAGAACGGCCCTGCTCACCACTGCTTCCTCCCCTGAGACCTTATGCTACTGACGTGGCTTTTGCCATTAGTCTGGTTAACGGACAACCTATCAAATGCCAAAGGTTATCACCCACTGCATGTCGTACATCTTATTTGCTTGAAAGTCTCGGGATCCGTGGGGCTCATCGAGAAGACGGCCAGCTGGCGCTGACAGCCACGGAAGACAAAGTGTTCGGCGAGCGGCTCCGCTGTGGCAGACTGCGAAGGAGCACTCGCCCTGGACGAGTCGGTCCGGTCCCAACAAGCTGTGGCACGAGGTGTGTGCCCACCATCACAGTGCATGGAGCCGCTCGCTGCACCCGGGGAAGGCAGCAGTCTTGCTCTAGACTCGTGCAAAGAGCTTCAGGACAGAGGAGCTGACAGGCGAGTATTTGAAGGGTCACCCTGCTCCCAGCACAGCGTTCCCAGCACTGCCACCCCATCATGAAATCCCTGCAGACAGTGGGACGGCAGGGCTCACCCCAGGCTGAGGCCAGCGCTCACGACTCCCCCATATAAACTCCTGCTGCAGCCAGCGCTATGGGGAACACAAGCAGCAGGCTGGGTGTGTCTGACAAGACTCCTAATTGCAGTTTGCAGTGAAGAAAGCATGAACGCGGCATGCTGCTACAGAGACCAACAATTCCCATTGTAAATCCTGGCTGTATGGAGCAATCTGCTCTGCCAGCTACTCCTCTGGTTTTCCCAGTAAGCCCCCTTCTAGGCTAGAGCCCAAACTCCAGCGAGAGGTAGTCATGCTGTCTAGAGTGATTCTGCCTTCCCCAGGACACCTCCATGCTACACAGAAGCACCTGCCTCGTCCTACCTCAACACTCCAGGGTTCAAAGGATATGTCGCGCAGGAGCTATGACCAACCGAGAGAGCTGGGACATCTCCCAGCAGGACTCAGTTTGATCCAGGGCAGCTATTCCCAGTCCTGCCAGTTACAGCACCATTTGCCAAGAGCCCCAGCACTGACAGAGCCACTTTCTCCATCACCAGGTCCATAACGATCGATCCACAAGACTAATGTAACCAATGCAGACTGTTGCAGGGGGGACACAGGCTCTGTGCCAAAGCTGCAGGGAAACAACCCCAGGCTCGCAGGCGTCACCTCTCCAGTCCCGCAGCTCCACGGTGGCTGGGCTGCTGCACGAGGAGAGGAGACAGCAGAGCTCAGCTAAAGCCAGCAGGCACTTCGCCTTGAAGACAGTCCCTTCCCAGACAGAAGGACCCAGCCAGAACATCCCTGCTTAATGCAACCTGCGGAGTAGCCCAGCTGGGCCCCTGCTGGGGAAGCCCCCGGTCAAAACACCCTGTCAAATTCAGTCTGGTTGGTGGCGGCCGGGTTCCTGCCCTGGTTCGCTGGCTGCTGGGGCATGTGCCCACCCCTCCTGCGTGGTGGGGCCAGGTACTCGAACATGGACTGGTTGTGGGTGGACAGCATGTTTTTGAGGTCTGAAGGCATGGGGTCTGACCAGAAGAAGTCATGGTTCAGTGCATCGTCGCTGTCAATCCGCTGGGCGGGATCCAGCACCAGCAGCTTGTCGATGAGGTCGAGTGCGTAGGGGTCTTTGACGTAGGCTTTCAGGCGATCCTTCACCTTGCGCTTCTGGCCCTTGGGGAGATCCAGCTTCTGGTACAGCTCGTATTTATCCACATTCGGCCAAACCTGGGAAGGGGCAGGAAGGCAGGGTTGGGAAGAAACAGTTACAGAGAGGACAAGCCATCTTTGCTGCTAACACCCTCAGGCAAACCAGGGTGAGGTCTGCCGAGAGAACAATACTGCTTTATAACCTCCAAGCCAGCAGACCTTGCTCCCACAGTATGAAGGAGGCATTATAGGGTGCACTAAAGCCTGGAGACACGTGGACAAGTCAGGACAGAGTCCTCCTACTGTGGACATGGCAAGCAGGATGCTCTAGGATTTCTGGTTCTTCCACAAAAGAGCTAATAGAGAGCATGGCTCAGGCCAGCTACAACATCCAGGAAGGTAAAGTGACAAAACTTATTGCTAAATAACAACCTGGACGTACATGGCACCTATTAGCCTTAGAAAGCAAAGCCTGCTGCAATCACCAGCACTTATATCAACCCTGATCTGGGAGAGACCACAGTGTAGGTATTTACATACAAAAAAAAAGCACCTTCAATGTATGTGCATAATGAACATAACAGAGGTATCAGGCCTCTGTAGCCATCTGCACAACACACCCCACTAGATTACAGCCCTGGCCAAGAGATCCCTCAGATCAATCCCCCACAAGAGGGCAGGACAAACTGTGGTTAAATAAAGAGCTGAGAAAGGGCTGACTGCTCACACCAGGGCTGAGCTGATGCCACAAATCACAAGCCAGAATTAAAGAGGCTTTTCAAGGTGACCAGTGCAAAGCAGCAGCAACAAACCTCTCAACACAAAACAATCAATCCACTCTTTAAACAGAAATTCAGAAGGTGTTTATCTGAGAGACAACCCCCAAACACAGGCTAGAACAGATTCCTACACGTAACATTCTGTTCTTTGACACTCAGAACAGCCAGCATCCTCTCTGTGTTCAGAAACAAGGACACGACTCGCCCTTCCCGAAGGAGATCTGTGAGGCCAAGTTCACCCTCTTATGTTTAGGAGGTTGAACACAAGTAACATGACAGCTGTAGTTTACGCAGAGCAGCAAGGAAAGCGCAGCGTCCCATTGCGCACTCAGCTCCCAGGAGGCAAACAGCATTTGCAGGAGGTTCCCTAGCCTCCCTGCCAGCAGCAGGCACACTCCAGTGCTGAGAGGACACAGCACCAGTGACCAGGGCAGGGAAGAGGCCCAGGAGTGCCCAGTCCTGGTCCCTGCCCACACCACCGCTTCTCACCTCTCTCCTCCCACCCTCCACAGCTTACCCACGCTCTCGCCCTCACCTCCGGCGTGATGGACCCACAGAGCTGGCTGATGAGGGTGAGCTGGTGCTGCTCTGTGTTCCCCTGCATGATGGGGCTGCGGGTCCACATCTCTGCCATGATGCAGCCTCCACCCCAGAGGTCAATGGGGGGACCGTAGTCCCGCTCCCCTAAACGGAGACGCCGTGTTAGTCACCCCGGGGAACGAGAAGGGCCGAGAAGCCAGCAGAGCCCATCACCTCCTACCTAGGAGCAGCTCTGGTGGCCGATACCACAGAGTCACCACCCGGTTGGTGTAGCGGTTCGGCTGGCTGTTCTTAGCCAGGCTGAAAGCTCGAGCCAGCCCGAAGTCCGCAAGCTTCAGGACTCCATCCCGCGTGATCAGGACATTTGCAGCTTTCATGTCTCGATGCAAGATCTGTACAAGGACAGACATCAAAAAGTTAAGCCACTCAGGTACCTTCCTTAGGAGCCCAGTGCCAGCAGGGCACTCAGACTCCAGAGATGGAGCACAAGGAAGGACTTTCCTCCAGCCTGTGCTAAGGCACCCGCTCCTCGCAAGGCCACAGAGCGCAGGGTGACCTCAGGGCCCATTACCTTGTTCCTGTGGATGTAGTAAAGTCCATTCAATAGCATCTGCATAACTTTCTTGATCTCTGAGAGTGTGAACTTGACGTGAGCATTGCTGAGAAGGCCAGCCAGGTCGTGCTCACAGAAGTCAAACACAAGGTAGATGCTGCCCTTGCAGCGGTTGTATGGAGAGGCTACAGGAGAGGCAAGGAGGGACTGTCAGAGAGGGACCCTTAACCCTGTCACAGCCCCTCCTGACCTCCAGCCACCCTGCTGCTCATACAACGCTCACTAGACAAAGCCTCAGGGCACGGGAACACAGAGAACTAGAGACAGTCTGCAGGCCTCAAGATTCTTCATAGAGAGTCCCTAAGTCAGCACAACTAGCAGCGGAAGAACAGGGGATGAGGATCGGAGTAGCGAATGTCATCAGACAGGCAAGGAAAGGGCATAAAAATCTTTGAAAGATTAATTTTGTGTTGTTCTGTGCACATAACGGCTGTGGGGTTTCCTCCCTTCAAGCTGTGGCTGGTAGGTGCACATACCACTAGCTGCCAGCCACACACCATCACTGATTGCATCAGCGATAGAGGAGGCACCCACAAAGACAGCCCCAGGAAAAATGCAGAAACAGAGAAAATCTGTCTAATACAACATTAGAAAGGGAGGTTTTCTGCAACCTCAACCAGCATCTATAAAAACGGACTGATCTGGAT